TGATCTCTTTGTTTCATGTTTCATATCAAGAATAACAAGACTGTCCTAATAACAAAAATATATGTATATGTTTTATTCATCAGTCTGTGCACTTTAATCTTTTAAACTCCTTCTCTGTCTTTATAAACCCTCCTGTCTCCGAGTCTCTCACACCCTGTTTTCCACACATCACTTATAGCCTATGAAATATCCTCTGCTCTTTAATGCCCTGTGCTGGCTGCCTTCCCTCAGGCACATTTATTCCCCCTCGCCCCCTGAGCACCCCACCTCCTTATATTCTGGGGTTGCTTATTGAAACACAAGGCGTGATGTGGAAAGGCTTTGCCAGAGGTTTACAGAGGTCAAAGTCTGCTTCATTTGCATATATACTATCACAGCTTAGCTCCTTGAACCCCTAGGCAGTATGGGATATGAGATGCAGGGATGCTGTAACCTCTGGATGAAATGCCTGGAAAGTCGAGCTTGAAATGAGAAGAATAATCATACACAAAAGCATGCATAAATTAGAGATAAACAAATATATTCTCTTATTAAAAAGTGACAGCTGTTTCTATTTTTGCCAGTGTTCAATACCATGTGTAGTGAGCACTTTTCCACATCAAATAAAGACCCATTAAGAGTGTCCTGCACCAGATATTATTGCCTCTCCCACTTTTTTTTCATTCCCTGTCAGTCAATGCCACTGTTCTTATTTGGCATCTTAGAAGCACAAGCCCACCTTGTTTTGAAGTGCACTCTAAAAAGCTGCAGACAGAGCAGGAAGAAAAGAGGCACAGCGTGGACGTCAATAGCAATAACCTAATAGAAATGAGAACATTCTTAAATTTCAAAGTAAGAGCAGCGGAGCATAAAAAACATGTCAGCAGCGTTGGGAAAGCATTAAATTGGGAGCAGAGGAGCTCTATTGTTCGGGCTGATTTAGCTGATTTCTGAGTTTGTCGGAGAGCAACAGAGGGTACTCAGGTTATACCAGGTACTGGGACAAAAAAAAAAAAAGACCTATCTCTATGAGATAGAGATACTGGAACTCTCTTCCAGTATGAACAGCGTAAGGCTCTGTTAAATCTCACTTTACTGATTTTACATGAAATGTAGTACTTGTACTAAAGGATTTAGGATTTTGGCATGGGACTTGTTCTAGTTTTAGTTTAAGTGCTTAATAGTTCAAGTTGTACCGTGAATGGACCAATCGAGCAACATTACACTCATTTAGCACATATAATAATAATAATAATAATAATATTTATTCATCACCTAAGTGTCTAATTTAGCCTAGGATCTTCTCGTCACAGACTTCAAACAATAATGTAAAATGCACTTTTCCGACAGTCCCTAAACATGCCTATTCATTCCCTAACTACATCCTCATATTTGATGTTTTATGGTCGATCCAAACTGTGAAACATTTTGCCAAATATTCTCTCTAATGCATTCCCATAGACTGTATATACTATGGACAACTTGGTTCCGCCTACCGCCTGTATACGGATTTGAAGCCAAAAAGCTCTCGGTATTTCCGGGATTTTTCTCCATTTCCTGAAACCAGCGCTGCTCAGTAGTGATGCGCGCATTCGGCCGCGCAGTCGCAGAGAGTCGCTGTGATGACGCTCGGCTCAAACAGCGTATCCCCTGGGAGAGCTACTCAATCACTGAATGCCCATTTGCTGGCGGAGGCGGGATTTATGACCTATACTGCAGCCCATCAACAGAGGGTGCTGTTCTTGGAGTGGCTTCACCCAGAGAGGAGGCAGACTCTGTCCATTCTTTATACAGTCTATGTGTATTCCTCAAACTGGATGATTGACACAGATCTAATGACAGTAATAGTGGCAAAAAGTCATCTGTTGTAACCTGATCACTGGTCACAGGGATGCGTGGTAAATAAGATCATTGATGAAAATGATCATTGAATTTGTACCCACAGCAAACGTGCTTTGCTTTTTATTTCAATACCAGTGATTGTCGCCCCACATGGTTTATGAAGTGTCTTGTTTTGCAGGTTGAGTCATTGCTCCCAGTGGCACAAATCGCTGTCAAACGGTTGTTGATGGGTTTCAAGGTTTCTCTGAGAAGTTTAGCTTATAAAGAGAGCAAATTTTGGGCATTTTGTCATTTGAAATATTGCATGAAGTATCATTATTTATTAAGGATTCAGTTGAGCATGTACAGCATTTGAGTCCTAGTCACATTCCTTGCCATCAAGGGACAATAGTGAAGTAAACTGTCTTGTATCATTTTTCTTTTTTTTTTTTTTCGTTTCATTTAATCTCCTATTGTATCTTATTGTTTGGTTTTGTTGAAATTTCTTATCGTAATGTATCGCATCATTTCTTATTGTATCATATCGCATGGCTTCATATCATATCTTATTCTAACTATTGTATGGTATTGTATAGCATTATTTCTTATCATATTGTATCACATAGTTTTGTTTCGTTTCATATCTTATTTCACTTAAATGTTGTAAATTCAACTGTCAGATAAGTTGTCTGGATAACATGGTTGTGAATTTCTGAACACAAACAGATCCATGGAAATAACATCACATTTATAATCAAGTGTGGAAAATGATCACATTATGTCTAGTTATGGACATCAATCCTTTAAAAAACTGTTTAAATAAACACATGTTTCAAGATGCATTTATTCAATTAACGGAGCAGGAGCCCTTGGAATTCAGGGACTGTGATCACATGGTACATCAGTGCAACTACTGGGCACACACATGCACATAAATTAAGTGTATAAACACACAAACAGCCTTACACACTATTTCCTGTAAAACCTCCACTGGTTTTATCATCTCATCTATGCTGCGCTACATTACAGCAAACCTTTTAAACCATCCGACAACTGTCTCATATAAAACCCAACATAAACACCAACCATATAACACCATGGCGTTTTATGACATCCTCACACACGCGCATCTCTTACCGGTGTGAAGTTCATGACTTTAAGGATCCAGATGGTCAGTGCCAGGTTGACAATCATGGTGACAAGGAGGAGAAGGATGAAGAAGTACAAGCATCTCTTCCTCCAGCCATAGATCCCCACTGCAGGGTAGACCTGGGCGCTGCACACCGATGCCCCCTGCTGGTGGAGAGGGTTGGGCTGCGCTGCAAGAATGTACTGCTCCTGAGTCATCTGAGAGGGACACAGATTGAGAGAATATAGGTTAGAATCATTCATTTTTTATGAGACATTTCCCGTTGATTCGTAATTGAACTTCAAGGAATTCATCGCTTCAACAATGTGCAGCAAATTGAGGGAATAACTTTCCTGAAGTGTGAGCTTAATTAAATCCAAACACAGAAGCCAGAGTTATGAAAATTGTTGCCGTTAATCAACTGAATTTACTCCAGTAGTTCCACTCATTTAAGTTTCTCACTTTTTTATTTCTTGGCTGCTATTTTTTTTTTCATTTTGGAGTAAAATTCTGCAACTTCTCAGCCCTTTACAGATGCTCCACAAACACAAAAAGGAAAAAGTGTAAGGAGATAAAGAAAGACAGGAGATGGAAAAAGAAACTTTTTTCATTCCTCTGTATTTCCATCCATGCATTGCAGTGATAAGATAAGGCAGAGAGACTAAAAGGCTAAACTTTAAGGTTCGGTCATGGTGCTGAAGAGGGTGGAAACAATATTAAGTAAGCAGAAATAGAAGGGAGAAAAACAACAGCACAGAAGAGAAGGAGAAAAGCCTGAGCAGGCAGGAAAGTAAAGGAAATAGACACCGGCATGATAAAATAAGATCGAGGGGGGCAGCTGTGAAGTGAGGAGATAGAATGGCATTGAGTTGTGAGAGATAGAGCGGATGAAGAGAGAAAGAGAAGGTGAAAAAGAGAGAAAGAGGGGGAAGATAAGACAGCAGAGTCCATTAGTTGTAGTGCAGCAAGAGGAGTCATTGGTGGCAGGAGATATGGGCACTGGCTGCAAGGCACCACTATCTCTGTCCATCTTTCAGTCATTACCTTCCTCTCTCTACCTCAACTTTTCCCTCTCTCTCACCCTAATTCACTTCCTATCTCACTTCTGCACCTCTCTTTTTCTCCCTTTATCAGTCCCTCTTCCTCACACACACACACATTACGTCTTTATTTGCTGAGGCTGCATGACCTTAACACCTTACTGACTTTGTTTTTCTCCGCTGCCTGTGATGCTTTTTCTCCATAACGTCTCACATGATGATACCAACAAAGGTTGATGGCAAACAAAAATGCTGACTTTTGCTGTGCTGGCAGAAAAGAAAACAAAGATGGAGGGAGAAAGACATGTAGACTTGCCCTGTTCGAGTTATGTTTAGTTTTCAGGCAAAGTCTAAGAAGCAGATGTCAGAGTGTAATCTGTACCGCTGCGAGTGAAACCTGTGTCTCGTGCACAAAAAGAGCAAAGGCAAGCTCTTTCCCCCTCTGCCTTCCATGTTATCACAATGCACATAAAACCTTTCAGTGTCTCAATTGTGTAACACTAACTCTGTCGCAATGTTTTACTTTTTAACTTCACACACATTGTCCCGTTTGTATACTCTGCCTTGGATGATATTCGCAGTCAAGGAATATCAAGAGGTAATCTGAGGACAACGTATTCAATCGTTCTATAAAAGGAACCAAAACTCAATGACTAGTCTCCAACAGCACCAATCTGACAATATCTAGTCTGGTATAGTGATGTATATAAAAAAAAATACTAAAAAAGCATTATCCCTTTAAAAAAACAGAGACTGTGTGATTTAGTTTTGAAGTGGCAGGACAAAACTGATCCTAGGAAAAATTACACAGTGTTTACTCATCTAAATAGGAGCGAGGACTTAGACTCAAGTCCTGGTTTTCAGTATTCATGACTTGACTTGGACTTGATCACAAATAACTCCAACCTGGACTCAGACTGGAGCAAGGATTCTGCATTCAGATTCACAAACTGGAGGTGAAACGTACACTTATTCAATGGCTAAGACCAATTTTTTTAATTTATTTACTTATGTTTTATTTGTTTCTATAGGGCTAATTAATTCAGTCTGAAATAGCTGTCGTCTTAATGCTTATTTGAGTTCACATGTAGCAACTGTTATTTGCAGGTTGGCAACTGTTACTTGCAGGTTGGCTCGCAAGACACTTTGAAAACTTTGCTTTTTAAGATATTACTGCAGACAAAAGCAAGCGCAGTGCAGCCATGGGCGGCGCTATAGGCTAAGGGAAGCTTATGCTGCGTTTGAGTTACCTCCGAAGTCAGATCTCCGAGCTGGGAATGACGTCACACCCATGTTACCAGCGTTTCGGTTACCAAGTTGGAAAAAAACAAAATCGAAGGCGGAAACAAGATGCCTACATCTACGAAAGTGGATGCTAAAATAACTTAAAGTGACTAAAATAACAAGCGCTAAGATAACTTTGGTAGATGTAGCCATATTGTTTCCGCCTCCGATTTTACTTTTTTCAAACTTAGAAACTGAAACGCTGGTAACTCAGGCGTGACGTCATTCCCAGCTCGGACATCTGACTTCCGAGGTAACTCGAATGCACCATTAGTTTCTCCTAAATTGTTACTGAAAATAAAATAAAATAATCACCAAAATAAAAACAAATAATCAAAATAATGGGTTTTTTAAAATACTACTTTAGAAAGAGGTTGGAAATACATTAAAACACAATTTTTTAACGTATTATTTATGTTGATGGTTGATTAATTTTTCTTATTGGTTACCTGCGTCATTTCGTAAACGCGGCGTAGCTACAACGCAGCATAGAAGCTAACCTTAGCCTTTGCCTCACTAGCTATGCTAATCACCGACAGTCCAGCAAAATGAAAAGAAATACGCCGGGTAATACGGACATATTAATTTTTTTCAGTGCCACAATTAAAGAGTCCAAGAGTCCCTTTAAGAGGACGCTGTGAGCTGCAGCAGCACTAAAGCCGACTGAGATGCCTCCACGACCGGCTGCCGCGTAGTCAACTCTGCCCCCTCGCCTTCCAGACACCAGCGGCCTCTCTCCAGACCACTGGCCTTCATTATCACGCCGCTGACACCGACCACAGCCCAGCAGTCACCGGCCTACCTCCAGTCAGCAGCCGCGGCCCTCTGGAGTCCGGACACCTGCTGCCTCCTCCTTCCAGTCACTGGCCTCCCTCTAGACACCTGTTGCCCGTCAGATTTGGGGACTAAGGACAGCGGTCATGCGCAGTCGACTTCACCAGGGTATCCCAATACTGATTTTGGTAAACAGACGAGAGCTTTTAGCTCTGGATAGCTCTGCAGCAGGTAGATGCCATATCCTGTTTCCCCATGCAGTTTCTGTGCAGTGCTAGGGACCAGAAGGCCTCTGCTGTTGGGATCAGGGACTGGATATAGAAATAATAATAATAAAAAAAGATTAAATACGCGGAAGTGTCGCGCGAAACTGGATGAGGACAACTATGGCACAGACTGTCATCTCTGTGGCCTCTGTTCATTGAGAGCGACATAACTAAGAGTATTAAACCTGAGGAAATGGTTGAGAACTATGACACAAAGGCCCCACGGAGGATGCTTTTCTCTGGAGGTAAGAACATTGATTGATTAATTTATTATGGGCTACAACAGAAAAAAAAAATAATAATAATAATAATAGGAATCATTCTGCTGCACCACAGTTTGATGAACATAATCAATATTAGGGGAGAGTGGGGTAAGTTGAGCCAAAGGGTAAGTTGAGCCACCCCCTGTTGCTTGGAAATGGTAAAAGAAATTGATCTTGTGACCAAATATTTAGGAGATGGGCGTCAATTCATGGAGTCGGTGAAGGTTAGAAGCACATGGGTGAAGGGGTTAGACATTAATTAAAAAAAAAAAAAAAACAACATTTTTTGCTCTTAAAAGTGAATTTAGTCTCTCAAAAGTTAGATTAGAATTGTGTTCAGACCAAAAAAGATAATTTTAAATTTGTTTTATACATCAGTTGTGGTATCTACGAGCCACAACATGAGGTCAAAAACCTAACATAACATCCACCATTCTAGTTTAGAGGACTAATAAAGTCATAATAGTAGTTCTGGAGTAAGTTAAGAAAGTGGCTGAACTGAGAAAGTAAAGAAGTCTGATGAGAGGATCAGAGTTTTAGTTTAGATTGTTAAAATGTGTTACTTTTTCTTTTCAGAAATACAGCTGTGAATGTTGTGAATCAGGTTTTTTACAGAACAGCTTTTTAGCAGGTATAAGCAATAATAATAAAATGAGTTATGGTATCAGTTGAATAGTGTATAAAAATACACATGAATGTGAAGAAGTGACTGTTATTTAGGGAGAGAGAAGGTGAGGGAGGGCTGGGGTGGAGAGTGGGGTGTAGTAGGAATACGGCTCAACTTACCCCGCTCCTATGGTCAACTTACCCCATTGTAAGTTGACCATATGAGACCACTTCTTTTTGGCATGCTATATTATCAAGACAGTTATGTTTACACTTATTCTGTTGGTTTGCAGGGATGCACAACGTCTTGAAATATAGGCAGATACACTAGTTAGAGACAAAACTATGATTGCCTTGATATAGTGATCTGAAATATGAAAAATGGCTCATCTTACCTCCTATGTGTATCTATCTATGGTTAAAAACGTCCTTTTTTTCCTTCTTTATGTCCCATAGCTTCTCCATTTCTCCTGCCCTAGCGCCGCCTATGAGTGCAACACAACATAATAGTGATTTATGAATTTAAGGAAAGGGCATATGATGTACCAAGAAAAGTATATTAGAGGCTTCAGTTATTAGACCAAAGCTAATAGTAATATTAGCCACTACAGTGAGTCAACTACTGGCTATAAGAATAAATAAATGATACCTTTACATTTATTTGGCACCTTGAAGTGATCCCACATAAGCAGAAACAATGAGTAAGTCTACCACATAAAGAGAGATGCACATCATTCCCAGTGCACAGAGCTTTAACTTCATTAACTTGACATGCCCACATAATTGGTCATACTCCAATGTGATGATTGAAATGTGTCTACACAGGCGAGAAGTCGGAACGAACTGTGACTCAAGTAATTGGGACTCGACACCAAAGACTCAAGATTGAACTCGGACTCAAGGTATGTCACTCCACTTGAAAGATTTTTTGACCCACTGTAAATTACTTTTACCTCTCTTGACTTTGCTTATCTGGTACTTTCATGAGGAAATGTGACTTTCTGCTGGAAGATCCTCTGTTGCTTTATTTTAATAGTCAAATGTGTCGCCCTCTGTGAGGCTGTTTTAGCTTGGCATGAGTGCTCTAACATTTTTGACACTTTCGTTAATGAAATTAACTTATATGGATTTCTGGTCTTGTTACCCATGATCCAGTTCACTTTTGTAGGTCATATAGAGGCATTAGACTGTTTCAGAAGAAGTTGATAACATAGAGCCATTATCAAGAAGGTTGGACTGAACGTGTCAATGCAATAAGAAATACTGAAACTCAAGCAAAGTATTATGTTAGTAAAGCAACGGACACCTGCATAAAAAAAAAAGAAATCTTAAATGAATGAATATAAGTACATGAAATCAGTTATTCTGATTTAAAAAACCTAATATTTGATCTGAATGCAACTCATCAAATTCATCTCCAGTCTCAAGCTGAGACACATTCATGCCAAGTGGAAAGGGTTTAATGTTCATCGAGTGGGCTGATGAATAAATGATTTTCCTTTTCAAAGCGCAAAAAAAACATCCTTCTATAATCTCAGCGGCTGCTTCTTCCTCTTCTCTGAGGTGCATCCCCTCAATCTATGCAGTTACAATGCATATTAATCAATAGCAGGGTATTGCTGCAGAATAGGGGAATCACAATGGGCTGCTGATCATTTTATCTCAGTATTCAGAGTCTGTGCCAAATCAATAGCACTTTGTGTGTGTGTGTGTGTGTGTGTGTGTGTGTGTGTGTGTGTGTGTGTGTGTGTGTGTGTGCCTTAACCTGTTAAATGCTAGGTTTGCGGTGTGTGTACTGGCAGCTCTGTGTTGCTCTGGAATGCAAATCATTTTTTTCCTGCAGTGTGAATTCAAGAGTCACACACATTGTATAGCTGCTTGCATGTGCGTGTTGGAATATAAATGGCAGCTTCTCAAGGGCAAGAAGATTAATTAGCTGATTATCCAATTAAACCTGTGGGAAACAAACCTCATGTTTTCCTCTTTTGTTTTTAACCAAGCAGTGATTTGTAAAATAAACATATTTTTTTATCATTTCCAGGTAGCACATGATCACCATTTTCTATTCTTGATGAATCAGTGACCATTTGGAAAAATCTTCACCCATATACTCCGTCTGATTCACTAAGTGTCTTGAATGTGTGTTTGAGGTCTCATTTAAATCACAACCAGGCATGGTCATCAATCCAAACCAACGTCTGAGAAATATTATTTTCTCCTCTCCCATGGTTCCACAGTTTCAAGAGTCATATTTATCATACTTTTACATACACTTACTTTGTTGTCATAGAAAATGCCCTGCTCCTGCTTCTTTATCCGTGTTGTTCCCCTCTCTCCATCTTTCCTCCTATCTGATTTTCCATTGTGATTTCTTTTACTTCCAGTCACCATCTTTCCTCCAATTATACATCCAAAGCATCTTTCTGTCCTTACATCAACCCCCTCACCTTTTACAAATCCTTCTTATCTTGTATCTACGTCTTACCTTCATGCTTCCCTTAATTTCCAAATTCTTTCTACGCCAGCCTTCCTCAGACACTTAATTTCATTCCTCCTATCCTCTCTCTCTGTTCTTAACTAATCCATTTAGTTCCCCCTCCCTTCTCTTATTCTGTCCCACTCTCCTCCCTTCCCTCCTCCCTTCCCTCCCTCTTCAAATGCATTTCTTAGATTGAACTGACAACAGAGTCATCAATCAGTCCCATGGTGCACCAGAACCAGGCAGCCTTGCACAGCATAACCTAACTTTATTAACACCATAATGCTTTGACAGCCATAAAAACAAGAGCTTATAGAGATGCATCGCCATGGTAACCAATAAGGCTTATTACTGAGTTTGAGCTAACAATAATTTTAGACAAACCCTAACAAGTCTGCAAGCCTATTATTCTTATTTATTCATATTTTTGTCATGTTAATAAAACCAACAACCACCAGTGAGAAACATTTGTTGTTAAAAGCTAGTTTAAACCACAAAATCCACCAATAAACAGACCCAAAAAGGCCCTAAAACCAACAGTAAAACTAAAATGACGCTTTGACTATCGTAGCTGTGCTCTTGATTTTAAGTATCAGACAGTGAGATGAAAAGAGGATATGAAAAAGAGCAGTGAAAATAAAAAAAAGACAAATGGAAGGAAATAAGCAGAGAGATCATGATCTGTACACTGACTGATTCCCGCAACCCTTTTCCTCGAGGTGGAGCATTTTTAAGAGCTTACGAGCTAATAACAGGAAATGAAAGGGTAGAAGATATTGCATGAAATTGTCTTTCATCTTTCAAGGAGCTCGATCTCACATAAAGGGAGACTCTCTAAATTCATTATGGTACAAATAAAAAAAAAAAAAAAAAAGGCAAGTGCAGATTTTGCTCTCAGACGACATGTCACAGAGGGTCTTTGCGGTTGATAACAGATCACGGTGTGGTTCATGCTGGAGGCAAAGTGACTCAGAATATTACTTCTGGGATGGGAAATATAAAACACTCAGAAAGCATAAGACTTACTTTAAAAATTTGCCGCATCTGAACTGTTTAGGCCTTTTTGATGGGAAATGAAGTCTCTGAGCATGTCCGACAAGAAAACTCTGACACAATTCAATCTTGATTTTAGCTCAACGGAATAATGTACTTCACTCATGATACAATCTGATTAATGATGATGGAGTATGAGGGCCACATAAAGAAAAACAATTAAAACTTCAAGATTTGAGTCATTAGTAACGAAAATAAAGTCATTACTCATGAGAATAAAGTCGTAATAAAGTAATTACTCACAAGAGTAAACTTCCAACAAATGTCATCTTGAACAACAGGTAAGAATATAAGGACTTTATTCTTCTAAGTAATTACATTGCTACGACTTAATTCTCATAAGTAATGATTTTATTACAACTTTATTCTCGTAAATAATTATTTTAATACAATTTTATTCTCGTTAGTAATGGCTTTATTCTGGTTAGTTAATGACTTTACACTCGGAATCTTTTTTTTTTTTTTTTCTCCTTAATATGGCCCTTATAATATAGATTAACAATGCTGAGTTTATAATATAATGAATCTTTTTTTTTTCTTGTTGTTTTTTCATTCTAAGCTGTGGTTATGTTGAAGGAATAAATAAAAGAACAGTAAGAAGTAAAAACTGTTCAGTTCAATGTTTGATTTGACTCTAAAGAAGCAGACACTCTTTTACTGTCATACAGTCTTATGGTTTGGTTGCACCGTGTAGGTATAAGGTTTATCCCATTAAAGGACAACATCCAAACAAACCAAGATATGGGTCCAAAAAAGAGTTTTCACTGCATTTGGACATTCAGTGAAAAGCGTGTGACTGTTAAACTCTTCGCTCCATTCTGTTTATTTGCTGCTGGGGTAAAAGACATAATGATGCCAAACAAGACAAGTCAAAGGCAGAAAGTGTCAACTTTTAACTGGGTTCAAAGGTACCGTTACATCCCTGCTTAAGGCGTTCCTAAATGAGTGTTTGTCTTTGTGGGTGCTGACAGGTTCAGCCTGTTAAACACTGAGAATACTGGCTTTAAGTGAGCACATCTACACATGCAAAATTGACAGATGGTGGGATATGGATGGATATGACACACATGCAAGGGGGGCTAATGGCTAGAGGGATGGACGGATGGATGAGTAGACAGAGAGTCAGACTGCCTAAGATTGTATTTCATAGCTGAAATCCGTATCAAAGTGCAATCAGTATGAGTGCAGGGGCAGATTGTTGCTGCTGCTATATGTGAAGTGCTGAGGGCGATCTGATGTATCTGTCAGCCAGCATCACACAGGCCCGCTCTGCTCTCATCTGCTTATGCTCAATCAATACCACTGCCTCAATATCGCTCGCTTCTGATGGCCTTGACATTCTCCCTCTGCTTCTCCTACCAGCTGCTTCTTTACAGCAAAGCTCCTGAGGAGAGGACATTCAAAACACAGGTGGCTCATACGGATCAATGACAGTGTTTTCATTCCTCTTTAAGGGTGAACACGATATCTGTAGATTTAAGGTGGGAGTGGATTTAGGATCCACATTCAACAGCTTTTGAGATCATCAATCTCAACTCCTTTTTATCTTCAGATTTTTTTGGTAGTATTTTCATACACGTCAGGGATTTTTCAAAAGCCATTTTCTTGACAGCTATTGTTCTTCTTGATTTATTCAATAGACCCAATTTTCTTGTAGAGGCTATAAATTTAAACTCCTTATTAAGTAGTCTATTATTTAACAATTATGCAATGTTAAGGAGGGTTATGGAGGCTTAAGCAGCTAATGCTTACAACCTTATGAAGTCCTTTTGAGGTGTAATTACTTTAAGTCGATCTAAGAGCACTGGTGCCTCTTAACCTCAACTGTAGAGTATTTTTGAATAATGGATTTCAAATAAAAGGTAACAATCCACATTGACCTACATTAAACTTCCTGTATTGACAAATCGGGTGTATAATATAAGACTCAATGCGAATACTTTGTCTTGACTAAAAAGGAGGCTAACAGTTTAAAATGCAAGCAAAGTAAGCCAACGATGCTTTCCTAGCTTTATCTCAGACATGCGCCATCATGACTACAGGTGAAGCCAGCACCATCACCTACTGCTCACAACCTGATGCAACCTGAAATCAGCCCCCATTTGATATGTTGAAAGCAGCTGCTTTTAAAGGTGTGAGCAAACCTTATGAAGTGTCAGTCTGATAGCAAGACTCGTCAGTTTGAGACAACACGTGATTAACGGACGTAGGCGGTGAGACTGAGTGCGAATCGGTTGTGGGCTTTGCGCTCATACTCAACAGCTGTCATTGGTATATTGACTGAGCTCGACTGTTGTCTGTATCGCAAATGTCGACACAGTATGGGGGATGGTATTTACCTGTTTCCTTCAGAAGAACCCCAACACAGTTTCATTTACTCTACACACAGGAATTGGCATGAACTGAGCTTTAAACTTCCGTTCCATTTGGTGTAATTGTATGTCTTAGTTTTCACAGTACTTAATATTCATGATTTAAAAGGAAATAGAAGTGGTGGCTTTTTTTCCAACATGACAATACACAACAAATACTGCTTGTGAGTAACCCCTTAATTTCCACCACAACCAGAATGGCTATGAAAAGGCCATATCCGCTGATCGTAACCATTCAAGTTAATGTGTCGATTTCCACCAGCTTCTTTCCGTTATGCTGCGGATTGCTGGACGATTGCAAGAGTTCTGTTTTTTTGGAAGCATGCCATATAAATTCAGCACAGATTAGCCAGTGCTGGAAAGGAAGTCGGGCACATACAAAAAATAAAAGATCTGGCTTCTTTTCAAAATAAAATACTATGTGTTTCAGGCGGATTTTAAACCATACAAATGTGGGCGGGAATGAACAAACAAAAGGTTTTCAGACTGCATTTCACCCCGTTGATTGCACATGAATCTGCAGGTTCTTGTGAGTTCCGCTGTCCGTAATCCGCCACGAAATTCATCTCACAAACGGACCCAGTGGGAATTGGTAGACGGCGAAAAATCACTGCCGCTCTGAATCGGAGCTGTTCCAGATGCAGTGGAATTTAGGGGTGAGCCTAGTTCCATGCGTGGCACTTTTCCTAAATAGTCCAGAAACAAGACTTAATTAAAGAGAGGTTTTCATGCAGCTTGCTTAAAATCTGTCTTTGTGTGATTGCTTGTGTGTGTGTGGTTGTGTGTGAGAGAGACAGAGAGAGAGAGAGAGCCTATGGTATAAAACACTAAGGACTGTGAAATGGGAACACTCTCTGTTAGCTGTAGGCTGTTGGTTTAGACAGTCTGCCATTCCTTTCTGTCACTGTGAGCACTCAGTAGATGGATCCCCCCCCCCCAAACACACTTTCACAAGCACAGTCTGTTAAATTCAAGAACACAGACTGAAAAATAAACGCACAAAAGCAACAAACAAACGCAGCGCAAAATCACATTTCTTCTTCATGTAAAAGCAACTTTCTTAAACTGTAGATGCACACTTTTCTCACACAAACAAACACACAAACAAACTGTTTCTTTGTGCAGTGATGCATTCACTATTCTAACAGATTTACAAGGTTGTGCTGTAGATCTGGTGTAAAAAGAGGAGACTTACAAGGACAACTTCTGCTCTTCCTCTCTCCCTATCGTTCTCTCTCTATCACTCTCTCTCTTTCACTCTCTATCACTCGGTCTAAAATACACAAACATACAGTGTAAGCCAAAAGGACAACAGTTGTCACTGTTTAAACAAGAGAAAAAGAGAGAGAGACAGCTCCATCACAGAGATTGAAGAGTAGGATAACAGGAAAAAAGAGGCTTTCAAGAACTTACAAAAGTGTGTGATAGTGCTAAAGGGAAAGGTCATGCACGCTGACATTCACAGAAACCTTTAAGTCATCCCGCCACCTACATGGGTCATCCTGTTCTCGGTTTCAGGGGGACTGGAGACGATCCAAGCTGTCATATGTTCCACAAATAAATGCTAATATGGGACACTGCACTGACTCTGCAAGAAAATTTTAATACAAAAACAAACTCGTGTGATCCACCATTAAGCACCATTACTGCCTGAATAAGGCAAGATAAAGACGGCTTTGTGCTCAGAGGAAACCTAGTCCACAGTGCAGACCAATTCACCAATCCAGTCTTCTGCTGCCACAGCTGACGTCAATCAAAAAACACTGGTATTTTAAAGTTGTTGGAAAAACAGACACAATAGTTCATCGGTGATGCTGATGTTTGCTGAAACTCTGCCATGGTGCAAAGAGGGCTGCTTTCTACTACCACTTCTATTTATAGAGACTCCAGAGTGAAGAGTTGTTCTCATTTGTCTCTGTCTGGATTTCTCTGTCCAATGATGTCTTTAAGTTTTTTTTTTTCCTTTGCAGGACCCGTGAGACTAATTAGTGGATGATGAAAATAAAGGGGGAATAGAGGGAGGCCAGATGAGAGAGCAGTACAGTATAAAGAGTGACAAAAAGAGAGTAGAGCTGAGGAGAAATGGAGATTCGAAAGTTGGTGTTTGATTGGCAGGCAGCAGGACCTACTGAATTTGTTTCCCAACTTGATAAGTGTCAAAACTCCGATTGCAATAAAGCATATCAAACTTTACAGCTAGCTTGAGCAGGAAGTGTTTTCAAGAGCTTGGTTGTTTGAAACTGCCCAAAACTGTTAGTGGAAAAATGCTTTCTTTGCAATTCCCAACAACAGGCCAAAGTGCACCATGGGAAGTCCATACAAATACAGGCTTTCAAAGAAAAAAAAAAAAAGACTTCTGCAAATTACCAAATGGAAGGAGCAGTTTAGATGTAGAAAAAGCTCATAATATAGATGGAAAAGAATAGATAATATATATATATTTTTTTATTTGTCAATTTTCAAAAGGAGCTGAAGAACTTTTGGTCCACACGGCTTTCAAAGTGATATCATGACACCCTCACAGCCCCACGCTCTGAGTTTGTACTTTGTTGTGCAGTATCTTCTGTCACCTGCCTGTAAATTGTAATGCTAGCAGGAAACAAAGTAAGACTGATGGCTGGGCTTGGTGACTACACTACCTGAACGGGCTGAGGCAATGAATTCTAGTTAAGGAGGCCTGACATTCATCATGCTTCTCTCTTGTTCATTTGTAGCTGGGAAAGACTCAGCAGTTTTCCCACACACCCGAGGCCCATTCATCCTGACACACCGTGACATTTCTGGAGTCAGACGCTCATAATTGTAATTACTATGAGTGCTTTTTTTTCCCTGTTTCTGTAACAAACAGGGTGTGTTAGGGCCAGTACGAAAGGAGGAATGGTGTGGTATCTGGGTGTATTGATTATATGTAATATATGAATGAATTAAAAAATATATCTTAAGGTTGTTTTGCTTTTACAAGTATTTATTTGCAGCAATTGTTCAACCAGTGTTTGAGAAAACATAATAAATCTTGCGTAACGTAGCCGGTGTTTGTTCCCAGCAGTATTTCAGCACCATGGACAGCTCGACCAGACAACAAAGAGCTCTCCACAGTGCTTAACACCATCTGCTGTGCACTTTAAACTTGTAACTACGCTATTATTGCTTTGATTAAGTCTTCTCTCTGATCTTTCTCCTAACCCATGGCCAAATAATTTCTTTTGTCTCTACTTGACGCTCTGAATCCTTTTTGCATTCTACCAAAGTTGGAGGAGTATACTTTATCAAAGTAATCCTGCATGTTTGTGGAAAAAAGGCCTCAGGAAACATAAAAGTACTGATCTGAGCTCCTAAAGTAAAAGTAAAACAAACAGTATTGAGTTAGAAGTGTCTATCTGAATCTCATTTCATGTTGCATTGAACTGTTAACTTATGCTATTTTAACCTGTTTTGCTCTAACCTGCAGAGATAATGTCTAAATGATCTGAATCTGCTCCAGTGTCTTTGGCTTTGTTGGCTAATTCAACTCCAGTTTTTCCCTGTAAGTTTCTGGTATTACATTTAACACAAGCCTTTTCCCTAAAGCAGAGTTTTCTCTCTCATAGCCTCTATCTATGAGTGTGTTTTGCGTAGTTTTTACACCACAGTTTTTTTTTTTCCTCAATAGCATGGGATGAAATCTCTCACCAGTTAAGCGTGATTATATTTCCTGTCATGTTATCTTACAAGATCGATACACTGTTTTCTGAGGTCAGCACTTGGTTGATTTTTCATTTATTACATGAAATAGAGCATTTCACTGATGTGGTAAAGGTGCAGCGTCAAAATCAGGAGAGTGAGACATAAAAGTATCTGCCAAAACTGCCAAAGAAGAGGAAAAGTTTTTTTTTTTTTTTTTTCTGAGGAGAGTATCTTGTGCAGACGAGACGGTTAAATCTAAAATCACACACTGATCTTTGGAGTCATGTTCAACCTAAGGGGAGATGATTCATATGAGTCAGCTGTCTGTCACTGTCTGATTTTGTTATCAGTCATACACAGATAGACCTCGAACGTACACATGCACCATCAGACCGGTTTTCTCCTTACATCTGCACTTATGTTCATAACTCACATTCATTTTGTCCTTCTGTCTGTCTGATTCTCTCCTTCTCCAGCACCATTGGAGTATCAGTATCAGTCAGTATGTTTACATGACACTCGAACACTAAATTATTGACTTCATCCGATTAAGACCGTACAACTTAAGTGCATGTAAACACCTTAGTCCGACTATAATCAGAGTTTGAGAACTCTGATTGGAGTTGGAGAACTCCGATTAAGACACCCAGATAATGCGATTGCAATTTGATTTTCTCTACCCTGTAACCAGTGTAGTCGGAGTATGATAGGACAATGCATGTGTGTGTGCCCCATGCCCCTAACCCCGGAACAAAAACACCAGAGAAGAGGAGTAGCGTGCATCTCATCTGCAGAAAAAGTAGTGTGTACATCGTGTACGACAAAAACAACGCTGTACGATGCTCCATCTTCTTGCTCGAAAAATGCCCAGCAGCAGTTGTAGCCACTTCTGACGTCTGTCACGGACCTGCTTTTGTTGTTGACAGTTGTGTGGGGTCAACCGGAGACCCATATCGCCGCCTAATTTTGGGGAGGAGGACACGTTCACGTCATTAATTCGATTTTCTCAGCTGCATGTATATGGGGACAATGAGTAAGGTCAACTGAAAAAAAAAAAAACGAATTATGAGCTTTGTCCGATTAAGCTGTGCATGTAAACACACTGACTGCCCTCATGTCTTGGTTACAGCATGCTAGCATGTAATTAAAAAGCTCTTGACAGGCACAAGTACTGTAGAATAAATGTTGATTTAAAAACAGGTAAAAAGATAAAAAAGTAAAACCTTGTTGCTGAAAACAATCACTGAGGTAGAGAGAGAAGCTGAGAGTTTATAACAAGAAAAGAGATGCTGTGTTTAATTGAAGAGGTAATGCAGGGGAGATAATAAAAGCTCAAAACTCTATTAAAGCAGTGTCACAGAGAAAATGTTGCATACTTTATGTGGGCCGAAACACAACACAAGTATCCACAGAGTCACATTTGTTCATGAACAAACGGATGGAAATTTCAGTGTGACGGCAAACTAATCACGCGGTGTCTGTTTGTTGGAGCTCTGTCAGTAAGATGAGCAAATTAGCACTGCTGTTCAACGATGCCTCAAATAGAACTAAACCTTCCTGTGGTTAGCAGCTCCCCCTCTCCTCTCTTTTTCTCCCACTCTCTCTCTCCACCCAATCATTTTGTTTATCGTCTCTCTCCCCATCGAATTCTGCTACATCCCTGTTCTCATCCTCTCTCTCTCTCTCTCTCTCTCACTCACTCACTCTCCCTGCCTTTCCTTTTCCTTGGCGTGCTGCCTCCCGCTGAGTCAGTATCTGTCAATCAAGAAGCCACCAGTGTTCAACACCGCCAAAAACAACAACAGGCTTAGGCTCAGGTTTTTCCTCATCCTGTAGAGATAGATGGAAAACGTCACAGAGACAGAGTTGGCTGGCTAGGTGAAGCGCTTTCTACAGCTCTATAAAACTCACTGCTAAAGCTGGTGAGTGACCAGTGCTGTTTTCTAGTGTGGGCACTGCCACAAATTACCCAGCTTGAAGAGCTGGTGTCAGTCATGATTTGGCACTTCAGTTTGGCACGATTTCATGAGTTAAACATTTGTATTAGATACACTTAACAACCAAAAGTTTGCATAGTTAGCTGTGGTCAACAAGAATAAAAGAGGTGGGAGAAAAAATCGATACAGCATATTATCACGATATTTTGTCTGGTATCATATCGTCTCATTTGCCAAGTAGCGATTTTTCAAATTAATTAATATGAAGTCAAATCTATGATAATGTAAAAATAAAATCAACTATTTGTCCAGTGAAGTTGGCAGAGGTGACATCAGAGCAGGAGAAAGTTAGTGCAACAAATTCACATAAGGTTTGCAAGATGTGCTACATGAAAATAAAATACAGTGTATAAAAGACAAACATAAAGGAAAGCCAAACGCTAAATTAGCTAAACAGTTCAAAGGGTATAAATCGCAATATATTGTATCACAATACTCACTGTATTGCAAAATGTTAAAGATCGCAATAATATCGTATCGTGGCCCAAGTATCGTGATAATTGTATTGTGGGGCCACTAGTGGTTGCCACCCCTGAAGAATAAAGGAATGTCTTTCATGCCTTTATGGAGAACAGTCGATATCATGGTGTTTTAGAAAAGAAATGGCTTCCCAGGGAAATAACTTTATTAAAAAAAATATATTTTTTATTTATTCAAGACAAGTAACCTGAAAATTTTGCTGAAAATTCAGATCTTTCCATTTCAATTATTCCACCCATCTCCAACCACAAAAACACGCCAACTCCTGTCTTCACTGTCACACACAGTCAACTCTCCTGTTGAAAGCCTGTTACAAAACAATCCTAACGCAGCAGAAGTCTTCACTTCCCGAATCCATGAGTAAATACAGCTACTGATGCGGTGACAGCAGTTCAACAGGAGGCGTCACACTGTAGTTACAGCGTGGGAACATTGTGATAGGCAGAAAAAAGAAAAAAAAAAATGTGTGTGTGTGTGTGTTCTGTTACAGTAGCAAGATAAGCTGTTTGACTTTGAGAAAAAAGGATGAGAAAATAAATGTTTCTCTCTCCTACTGTGCTGATTCTTAGGGGGTAGAACAACAATATCGAAAGCCATGCGTGTGTGTGCATGTGTGTGTATGTATTAGTGTGTGTGTGTGTGTGTTTGTGTGTGTATAAGATGGTGATCGCTAAAAGAGGAAAACAGAGGAATCACATGGAGAAATGTGGAGACAGACCATTACCAAGGGCAGGCAAGCTATGAAAGATGTGATGGACGCCTGCTGCATGAGCATCACATGATGTGTGTGTGTGGGTATGTCTGTGTGTGTGTGTGTGTGTGTGTTTTTGTGAGCGAGTGCGTGAGTAAATCTCCTCTGGTGACAGAATCAGCACACGGGCTTTATGATCCTGCCCAGTGAGCTGGCCTCCTCCATCATCACCCCACCCCCTTTGGCGTAAACACACAAAATGTGTGTCTCTCATTTTCTCTTATATTCGTACTTACTCTTTTAGGAGGTTCAAGTACCACTCTGTTTAATTCTATGTTATATAATCTGTCTCAGAGCATTCTCGGTCATATCAGTCTATGCTGGCTAAATACATGACTATGCAAAACATTACTCAAAGTGAGCAGAGCAGGGAACTGGGAAGACAGAATTGAGGATAACTTGCGGGTCCGTATTGAACCCCGACTGCCTGTTTTGAGGACTAGAGCTCCTGAGCTTGGGGCATGCAATGTAACCACTGGCTGAAGCTTCATCAGGCCAAACTCTTCTCTTGATTAAGACTTGGAAGAACTTGACGCTCGACAACTTGTACAATGACATACCCAGAGGATCAGATTATCCAGCTTTTATACATTATATCTATTTGCAGACCCACAAAATTCTTGTTTGTAGCTTAAGTTTTAACACACTTTGATTGTATGCAGGCAGATAGTTAATGTGAGGAGCAAAAAGGTTAAAAGTTATCTGTAAACTTTCAGCAGCCATCTGACAATGACACAGTTAAGTTCATCATAGTGTTGTGTCGTTTGCGAAGAATTCGTTCAAAATAACCAAATCTTTTAAGTGAACATACTGAACCGAAACACTTCCTCAAGTGACTTGTATTGCTGGGCGAGCAGCCGGTGAACAAGGGCTGTGTATCATTTCAGGAGGTCGGAGTCACAGGCTCCTCCCACCAAGCACTGAACGATTCAGTAACAAATCATTTGAACAAATCTTTTAAGTGAACTTATTCAAGTGATTCAGTACATCTAAAAGAACTGCCGTGCCCATCACTAGTTCATCGTCTCTTAGACCTTGGTACTGATATTCAGATCCATTCTCACTGTACTTTCCATCAGGGCTACTGCACTGCAGTGGTGTTAAAGATAACCATCTAAAATATTAATATTCTGCCAAAAGCAAACAGATGGTTGAACCATGACTTAAGAGTAGTGGTATTTTATGCTGGTTGTCCCACATCGCAAAACAGAGCACAGACGAAGAAGTAGTAGTAGACTGTCAGCGAGCCCTCTGAGAGATTATTAGACACTTGTAATTCAGTTTATTTGTAGGTTTATGAAATAATATGTTTCCTTTCCTTAGTTTGCTTGGTTGTGTTTTATTTTCAAGTTTTTCCATAAATATTGCAAGGATGTTGTTACTGGGATGTCGTTAATCTTGAGATGAAAATCTGATGTCATGACAGCCCTACCCGTTAATTGGACATTGCCTCTAGATGCTGTGTTACCATGAGAAAGATCGCAAGATTGATGTATACTTCACTGTATAACAGAGTTTATCACTCATCATGGTGTGTGCTAGAACGTTAACTGGAAGAGTGCTCAATCCAAACTCACAAACCAGCTTTCTCTCTAATCAAAATTATTAACACCACCTTCCCTTCCTCTTACTTAACCCCCCGTCTCACCCCTCTACTTCAGTGGCCTGTCACCATAACTCACTCTCCTTACATTTCTATCTGACTCCCATCCTAATTGAGTTGTGTGTTGTCAGCCCAGCAGCCCCTCTCAAAGCTCCCTTTCATGGCTTTGACCAAAGAGTGGATGTGGGAGTGATGTGTGTGATGTATGTCCAGCAGTCGCTCATGTCCAAGTCCCCTCTATGGAGCACTCGTATATCAGCCCTCGCGCCCTGTACAATATAATGGAATGAACCGAGACGAGCTGACAAAGAGTGGATGAAAGAGAGGAAGGAAAAAGTGTGAAGAGATCTGAAAATTAATGACAAGGAGACAGCTAATTGACTGTGTGTGACTCGGGGTACTCCCGCTCCCCTCTCTTTCATTTCTTTATTTTTGCGCCAGAGGGAAAGTTTAAAAGCCTGCCTCAATTACAGTGACAAAAAAAAGACGTTAAAATTATCCTACCTTCACAGTCAGGTTTGCAAAACTGCAGCAGACATCCTTCTATCATCGCCTGCATCTGTCTGCACTCATTCAGACTTGACTCTTCGGCTTGAACTCCAAGCCTTTCAACATGCTGTTTATTTTTCAAATCCTTCATTCGGACCTGTTCTCTCTCACTCTCTCTACCCTCTTTAAACCTAATTTAAGCTTTGAGGCATTTCATCAAACTTAAAGCCAGATCAAATAAAAATTAATGGCCAGTCCACATTCAAAATCATCCCCTAAAACAAACACAGAAGTAATAAATGCTTTCCAAAACTGGACTAGCTCCCTCAGAAGAGTAATGTTCTCAGCCAAAAAAGTACCAATCACTAAAATGCCGCATTAAACTGCACGTAAAACAAAAATACCAATAAACTCATTTGCAGCGCTGTGTCTCTCATCCATATCAGAAAAAAAATGCTTTAATGACATAAATCTTTATTGATACATAAATGAAACATCCTTAACGTCAATTAAAACTTAAATGAGCATGAAAGAGTGTGTGTTTGTATCAAGAGTTTCTCCATCCAGATGTGATTGTCTGGTGTCATTAACTCCTCTGCTTGCTTTCCCCCTTTTGTTCTAACTCTGTAAAACCAACAGCTTAAGGATGCAGCATGTTTGTACACAGGTGCCCACATACACACACTCGCTCTGTAGTGTACACTGTCTTCTTCAAGGACACCCTATTATCTACTGTATTGGCTTTCAGCCAGTTTGACTTAAAGCTTTCTGTGTTCTGCTGAATCCCACATTCTGACTGTGTAGAAATGGAAATACTACATCAGGGTAGGGGGACATGAGTGTTACACACATGCACATGCACACACACACACACTCATGTGGGGGATAGTTTGTGGCTTTGCCATTCATCAGCGTGTGTGTGTGTCTGTGAGTGTGAGAATGTGTATGTGTGCATCAGCAGAGAAGTGCACGCTCAGTTGCTGGTTTAAAAGCTGACGTGGGGTGATGTCCAGATGGACAGAAATAAATTAGCTCAAGCAGAGGTCAGGACACACAGAGCGTGGACTGAGGGTTGTGTCCTGTGCCATTGCCTTTAACATAAAACCAAAGGAAGTGATTCATAAGTGTTCTTATTTGAAAAGAGCACAAGACATAAAAGTGAGCATCCAATTTTGATTCGAAGGTTTGGATAAGGACATATCAGGAAATCCTCATTAGTCATTACATACAAGTTAAGCATATGAATTAAAGCAGGACTTTTGCTATTATCCAAAGTTAGAGGATTGAATTATCAAAGAAATCTGAACTTGTTTGTTCTAACATTTCTTGAAGCATTGATCAGTTTTATTGAATACTGGATGTATTCTTTGAATGTATTTCTTCCTCTTCTCGACAACAGAGCCAATTCTTACCAAGTTACAACAGTCACCACATTTAAACAAAATCCTCAATCTGACATGAAAAGAGAACTAGAACAAAACATGGTTTGAAGGAAGTTTTTAAACATCTTTTGTGTTTGAGGGAGTAGAGTTAAATTAAGAATAAATTGATAGCTGAATAAGCGCTGCCAAGTCATCATGAGGTTCATTATCCAATCAGTCACTTAATTCTTGCAGTGATTAATAACTAAAGCACCCATAATAATAGTTATTAGTTTCATACCTTTGGATTGATCTTTAATCTATGAGTTTTGCTCCCATCTATGACTATCATAGTCTCTGTTTGTTAGAACAGTAGCCCATGTTATTAGAAAACTACAACCAACACAGCATTACTGTATTTTTCGGACAATAAGGCGCACTTGAAATCCTTGAATTTTTCAAAGATTGACAGTGCCCCTTATAATCCAGTGCGCCTTATGTATGATTACTTCTTGTGCTGACTGACTGATTTTGTGTGGTACTATGTTCTCAAAAATCTGTTGAAATGTGTACGACTTTGGTAAGCAACGAAGCTGCTCTGCTCAACGGATATTCTGAGCATTAGGGTACGCTGTGTCGCAACCTGATTGGCCCCGTAACAGGACCCCTTAGCAGTCTACAAGACTGCCTGACTGTAATGTCTATACTAGAAGTGCATTCATGTAAGGGAGCCCGAGCCCGGAGTATGCGCTAGCAACAATAAACCAATCAATGTGCCCTATGTTTGAACATAAACCTGTTAATTTACAGCGTGCCATATAATTCAGTGCGCCTTATCGCCCGAAAAATACAATATTTAGGACTGCTAATGACCACTACATTTATTACTCATGAATCTAGCACTTATAAATCTTGTATATAAATGAAATACATTGACTGAAAACACTTTATAATGACTTGAAAAATGGTCTAAATCTATTCTTGGCATTTAAACTGTAAAATTATCCTTTAGCATTTTCTTTGGTTTTCTAGCATGGGTTAGCAATTAGCACATATCACTGGTGCACATAATTGGCCAGAGTTGTTTTTGTGGTTTTATTTCAAGACTGACGCGAATTAAATCCCTCTAATGAGTCCTCCTGTAGCTTCCATAACAGTGTCTCACATAGATATTCTCCAAATATTAAATAGTTCCAAAAAAATATGCAACCGCTTCTTAAACCAGCAAACAGAAGCCTCATTCAAGAGTGCAGCATTGACCTATGCCTGCTGTTACCGTGGTGATGTGGTTTTATTAATTACTCTGCTGTTTGATTGGCTTGTTAAAGGACAAAGCTAATTGAGGTATTTGTAGATGAGAAGGGTGGAAGTGATTTATCGTGACCCCAGATCAAAAACACACAGATTAGAGATACTCGCACAATGCCTGAGGACGCACACACACACGCACACACTATATTGACTTAACATTTCACTTCCACATTGTTGACCCTGAACACGGCCAAGGTGTCCTGTGTCAGCTGTGGGGTCACAGCAGGTGCCCCAGCTGGGTATCTGCAACATGACCTGACCCCACCAGGCTGATAGTTTAGAGGTCATAAAACCACAGCAGCCTGCCCGAGACTGAAATTGAACCTTTCTGATGTGCAAGCCATCAATGCGGTCATTAAACTGCCGAAATGACACCTTTCTCTGCTTATTCTACAAGTTTCATTACAAAAAAAGAGGCACTATATTTTAAACTCTGCATCGCATATGTGCTGTTTAAGCCTTGTGAAAATAACAGTTGTTAGTTAATTGAGTAATTATTCATGATGTTTGTGTTAACACATTAAAGCTTATGTGAGGAACTTTTTGTGTTGGTTTTGGTGCTCACTGTGGACAGATATGGAAAAAAAAACAAATAAGATACATATGAAATAGTCTTTTCAGACAGAAAACTCATCTTGTTATCTTATTACAATGAATTATATCATTCACTGTGAATATATGCGACCCTCACACAGCATTAAAAATCACTAAAGTGAAACTAAATAACTTGTTCCTGATGGTCTCATTTAGTTATGTAAGTCATGAAGATGCATCACCATTTACAGTTTCTTCTCGACTACTTACAAAAAAACTTGTTCAATCAGGATGTGATCGTGCACTTTTTTAATGTAGGTGTTTTTCTTTTAGTCATGCTGCTGCAGAGTCGTCCTGCTTCCCAGAGCTGCAATAATGGAAAGTAACAACAACACTGAGTTTAGGAGTGCAAATCGCCACAGATCTGGAAATAAAATTCAGTTGCAGAATGCTGTGAAACTATTACCATACACCATCTGGATTTGAAGACAGTATATATCTTGATCATTAAATCTTTAACCCCCCATGCTGCAGTGTCATGAACGGACATGTATGCTCTTTGCCATTTGTTCAGGGCAGCAGTGAATTCTCATCCAAATCCAGCCAGGGCAGTGAAAGTGAGTCATTCCTCTCCACTTTAGCTCAGGTTAGGATCAAGTGGGGTCAAGAACAAATATAAAACATCCAAATACTCCTGAGGTTTTATTTACATACCTCTTATTTTTTACACTGGCCCCTTTATACTCTATCTCTATCTTTGGCATTGGCAATCAGCAGAAATCCCCATGCTTCTCTCTGCCTCTTCTCTTTCTCTTCCTTGCACACATGCACTACACTACACACAGATACACACAATGATACACAACGACGAACACACACACGCATTATGTATCCCCACGCTGCCCACTGGGTTTCACAAAGCCTGGGAAATGCTGATTTCAAAGAAAAGCTGTCGAATCTTTCTAGTTTTTGGGGCTTTTGAGTTTGTTTCTCCTGTGGCTACAGAGACTTGTTGGGATTTGGCGAAAATCAAAACAAAATCCAACCTTTGACATGGTGTTGTTCTCCTTCAGCCTCGTACTCTGGGAATGTGAAGTGCATGTGGAAACACTTTCTCTCTGTCAGCCACACAGGCTCATATAGGGTATGTCTGAAGTTATGTTAAAGGGATACTCTGACATAAAATTAATTTAGGGTCAAACACAGCGTAACACCAAGTTAGACACCCCCTCAAGAGGTGAATGTTGCCAAACGCTTGCTTCTCCAGTTAGACCAACTTTAGTAACGACCACAGGATAGTAATACACAGCTGTCTAAGGAGCCATAAACAAAGCTCTACCAAAAAGCCACTCTATAGCCACAAATAATGCTCAGAACAGCACCTAACTTCATCAACAGCACATATAGCGTCCTAACTATAGCACTAGCCACCAAACATCTGTTTAGCTTTGCCTAATTTCTTTAGCAAAGAGACTAAAGACAACTCACCTACTCTCTTTCAGCAGCTGCTTACTTGTAGCGAGAACTCGTGCCAGTCCATTACGGACTACTGTGGGGTGACGCAGCTAAAGGAAGAACATTTATGATCATTTCCTCATGGAAATGCAATCAGACCGAGAAGGTAAGGCAGAAGAACTACCGCGTCTGCAGTGCAAAATGATGATTATGGTGATTATTACTTCAAGGAAATGATCAAGTAATGATCATAGATGTTCTTCCTCGAGCTGCGTCACCCTCGTAATGGACTGGCCTGAGGTTTTGCTGCAAACAAGCGGCTGCTGGAAGAAAGTAGGTGAGTTGTGTTTAGTCTCTTTGCTAAAGAAATCAGGCAAAGCTGAAAAGATGTTTGGTGGCTAGTACTGTAGCTAGGACCCTATATGTACTGTTGATGAAGTTAGGTGCTGTTCTGAGCATTATTTGTGTCTATAGAGTGGTGTTTTGGTTGAGGTTTGTTTATGGCTCCTCAGACCGTTGTGTATTGCTATTGTGCGGTCGTTACTAAAGTTGGTATAAGTAGAGAAGCAAGCAGTCAGCAACATTCATCTCTCGAGGGGATGTCGAACTCAGTGTTAGGGTGTGTTTGGCCCTAAATTAATTTCATGCCGGAATATCCCTTTAAGTGTTTTTGTTGTGTGTTTAAACATGTGCATGTTTCCATATAGAGTAGAATGTTATGTCAAGGTGTTGCAGCACCTGCATATGTGTGTGTGTGTGTCTGACAGAGAGTGAGCGCTGTGTCTGGCAGAAGTCATTGTCAGCTTTTTAACTAAAGTGGCCCCCAACTGAGAGACGCAGGAAGTGAAAAGACAGCTGAGGATAAAAGAAAAGGCAGAAAGGAAAGAGAAACAAGGAAGAAGAGAGAGACGAGGGCAAAAAGATGCTTCGACAAGCCAGAAACTAGGAGGAATAACAAACGAAAATACATAAAAGACAAAGTATAGGAGAAGGTAAGAGGCAGGTGGGAGAACAAGGGGCAAAAGAGAAAATGATGCATAGAGATGAAGATAAAGAGGATAAGACAGGAGAGAAGCCATGTGGAAAGGAGACGACTAGAGGAGAGGACAGGAGAGGAGAAAACAGGAGATGAGACAAAAACTGAGAGTACATCAGAGCTAAAAAGCTGGAAGAGAAGAACAAAATGGAAAAAGACAAAAGAAGATTGAGGATTGAGAAAGAGACTGCGAGATGAAAGATGAGTACCAACTCCGGCTCTGCTCCTGCGCTCGCGGGGCACAAACCATGTGTGTGTGAGTGTTAGTGTAAGTGTGTGTCATCTTGTGTGTATATGACAGCCATGTGATCTAAGGTCTTCAGTGTCACTGCACTGCCTGTGCTGTGATGGCAAACCATTCATCATCAGGGCGTCTGGTGCCCTTGCTGCAAAAGACACACATGCATACACACATGCATGCACACACACACACACACACACACACACACACACACACACACACACACACACACACACACACACACACACACACACACACACACACATCCACACAAACACAATCACTTGCATGCTTACACAGACACACACACAAATATAAACCTCATCCTGCATTTGTTATTTTTGTCTCCTTTCAACCCAAGAGTCCTCCATCCCTCCAAACAGTGCTTAACTTTTTCTAACTCCTTTTTTTCATTTCTAGCACTCAAGTGTGTTTTACTCCATCAGGTTTAATTTGCCAAACTTCCCCTGTGAGTCTCTCCTGCCTGCTTCCCACCCTCTAGGCATTAATAATCTTTTTTCGACTTACAGCATGCAACCAAAAAAGAATAATAAGCCCTCAACGTGGCACAGATGTACAACATTTATACCCTTGCAAATAATAGTAATCAGTGCATTTACTTCAGAAATGGATTTTATGAATTGCGGTCATTATATCAAAACTACAACAACCATTTTTATAAATAAATTTTTACTCTGGGTTTTTCAAAACACGTTCGATGCTGCAAAATCACCAAATAACTTCATCTAAGGTAAAGCTCCTGTGAGGAATTTTTCACATTTATGATACAAGTCAAAATTCATATTGATGTCTTTTTTATGATATCCAAAAGCAAACAAGACCATCAGCAACAAGACTGACGATTTTCATGTTATTTTTGATACCAGAAACTAATGAGAGTGGGTAGGTGTCAGTGTAGCCCCCGAAGAAACAGCCTGTTTCGCATTTTCAACATAAAACTTTAAGAGAAAAAAAGTTAAATTTTGCCGCCCAAAGTCAGCAGAATTGAACTTTTTTGTCAGAGAGCACTACCTAAAAAACACAGAGGATAAGTAAAGACCACTTTGTTTACAAGGCGAGAAAATTGACACAAACCAAAAGTTCCTTACTGGAGCTTTAGCAACACGAGTATCTCCTGATTTCTTAAACATAATCCAAAACATTAAACTGGATTAAACTGAAAAGTTGGACTTGTTTTCTACCTGAATGACCTTGAATAGATTTTGAGGGACTGAGACAGACATTCAATTATCATATGAAACCTGTTGGTGTGAATATGAATTAATTAGGGAATCTTTATGACTGAGAATAGGTTTAAATGGATGTAGAATATAACAAATCGGCTTTATAAAGCCTGTAAAAGGTACCTTGTGGAGTTAATGAAGATTCGTAGCACTACGCTGCCATGATTTCACTCAAGGTCATTTTAATCATCAACTAAATGAAAAGACGTGCACAACACAAAATAACTCAGTAAAGTCCTGTGCTATGGAAAATAAAAAGTCATTCTTTTTCTTTATTCATTTTTATTTACTATGTATTGTAAAGCACTTTGGTTCAATGAAAGGGTTGTTTAAAGCAGTTTAAAGAAAAATAGGTTATTTTGTTCATAGCTGGCTCATGAAGTATTCAAATACAAATGACTTACATTAGTTCACCGACCTTCAGAAAACAAACGTTAAGTTCAGTCTACAGCTAATGGATCACACAAAGACCACCTTGTGAAGAAAAAAATAAGTAGACGTACTTAAAATTGAGACCTACTTTTTAATAAGTTCATAATGAAGAGTTAAAAGATTCTAACCGCGTGTGTGACAACTCCTCAGCCTGATCTGACCTACATCAAATCTCATGTCAAAAGGAGAATAGCTCCTGATGATACTGAGCTCATTTCAAACAAAAAAGACCGAATCAGGCTGTAACAGAGTATAGGACGCTAAAGGGAGGTCCATAGTGAGGCTCTGTGGGTCTGATCAATAAGTAAGTCGCATTAGCACTAGACTGAAACCATCACCAGATTGAAAGGAAACCAGTGTGAGAGCTGGTATCGAAGAGAGGGGCTCTGGGTCGTCAGTGCTGTAAAGAAGTTGACCTCACTGAATGAGAAACTGAACCTGGATGTGGAGAGAAGCTGCTCTGGGTCTGTCCTGTTAACTCTGCAGAGAAACCTAATGAAAGAAGCAGAGGGGGAAAAGTTGGTGTCAGCCCTCAGAAGATGTGTCCAAATGCAGGAGGGCACAACTGCATTCACCCTTTACATTAAGCAGCACGGCCAGATCCTCACAGGGAGGGGGGATGAGAACAATGGGAGTCTTAAGCTGCTGTGTACTGGGATTGAATGCAAGAGTACCTGAGTCAATGGGAACTGAGGCAATTACAGAGAAAATAATGTAATCCAGGTCCCTCTGTCACAGGCTAATGCAGGCAGCAGTATGTGTGTAAATGCAGCACACACATTTGTATGGCCTTAAGTACAATGCAGACTGAAAGGGAAGGACAGTCACGGCATACTAATAAACGAATATGCTCATGCTCAAAAATGTGCAATAGTCACGGTGCATCGCTTTGACTCAGGGAAATATCCCTCAGAGCACAGGTATACCTCCTGGATCCTGGTGCTTGTGGGTAAGATTGTGGCCAGCCCCGTGCACCCTAGGCACAGACAGTTAAGAGATCCTCTCCTTTGACAAGAGGCCACAAGTTGCCCATCATTGCATTATGCATAAGCCTCAAAGACACCTGAGTCAGTGGATCTGGATGAGGGGGAAAAACAGGGACTTAGGGAAACCATTCACCTCCTTCATTAGCTCTCCTCCTTCAGGGGGAGTGGGAGGAGGTAGAGCCTACTGTTGAAATGCTTGCCTGTCACTGCTGCTGGTCACTCTTTTCTTTGCTCTGTTCTTATGAAAATAGAGGAGTAGGGGGAGGTAGAGAGTACAGCCTAACCTGTTCATCAGTAGAGCATAAATACTGCTATGAAGGTGGGATAGGTTTCTTTATGGAGTGCTTTTTCATTAGATTACAATAACCTTGTTATTGATTGAACTTAAACACTTTCTGCTGAAATCTTCCTTCTTTCCTCAGCTTGAACTGCTCCTGAACTTATCAATCTGCTGTCAAATATGAAACACTTCCCTCTGTTCTCTGTCAGTTTTAAAGAACTGATTTTAATGAACAACTTTTGCTCATTTAGGTATTTCCCTTATCACTCTGTTGAGATATCAAGTCCCCTTATCCATAAATAAGGGTTCTAGCATAAGCATATGGACAGAAAAGTTTGTCCTCCTCTATGATGTTACATAAAAAGCAATGTCTTTCAAGTTTAGCCAAAAATAACTTTACTTTAGACTCACTTCGCCAATATTTTCTCTGCCAAGTGCGTCATCTGAGGCTTCTTCCAGCAGACTGGTGATAGCCTCAGTTCATGTGGGAATAACTGTCAGAATAACTTCATAGTGGGAAAAAAAAATGTACCACTCATAAATCAACAAGCTTGTGAGTTTATTTGAGACCATCAAGTATGAGTGAAATGTTTAAAGAGAATTTTCTGGCTCATGGTTTGCTACATAGTCCAGAAACATGCACTAAGTGAGTTCATGTCCCACTTAAAACCAGATCATACAAATTTAGTGACGGATGAAAAACCCAATGGGCAATGCTATCACATTTTGGAAGTTGAACCTATAAATTGAATGCAAGCAATTTTGAATGGAACTTTCTTTTTTGAAAGTTTCACGCAATGTTTTTGGGTCTGAATTGCAGCAGACAACGTGGTGCTAAAACATGTCGAATAATGATTTTTCATTGTGTCTCAATAATAACAAATGGAAAAAAAAACAAATAAAAGCAGCAAAACATGCAATAAAACCAAGTGTTGCTTTTAATAAGGATACTAATGAGCAATATGTTCCTTATCATAGTATCTAAATAGGGCTGGACGATGAAACGATAAGGATATATATCTAAAATTAATTTCCCTCAATTTCAATATAAAACATGGTCAATATCCTTTTCGATAACCAATACTCCGCCATGTTTTGGTAGACTATACAAATAGCCAATGAAAAGGGGAGTTGCTCTGGGTCCGCTTTGCACTGAACCAATCATGTGCTGAATTAGAACCAAGTAGCAAACAACTGCGTAGTAGCAGGCTGCAGCTACACGCAACTATAGCACTTTAACACGTGAAGCCGACAGCACTGTCAGTGAGAAAAAAAGAAAATGAGTGCAGATGAATGCTCAACAGATGATGACATTGTCGACAACACTGGCACGAAAATGTCGTTGGTTTTGTTTTTTTGAGGTCGGACATGAAGCAAAATTATGTGCACTGCAAAATATGTCGAGTACATATTCTCGTAAAGTTGGGAAATACCTCAAATCTTTTTTACCAACTGAAGCAGTGCCACGCAGCAGAGCAAGCACAATGCAAACGGTTACAAACAGCCGACCATTCAGTCCGCTTTCTCTTGCTCAACGCCTCATGACAAAACGTCGAAGAGACACAAAGACCTCACAGATGCAGTAGCTTATTGTATTGCAAGAGACATGCTACCAACAAGCACTGTTAAATTTAATTTTTTAAATTGTGATATATATTGATATTGACTGATATATAAAAAAAAAACATATCATGCTAAACTTTTCCCATATCGCCCAGCCCTACATTTAAATAATATTATTTGTATCTCAGATTCATTGAAGGAGTTTCTTTGGTGTGTGTCCACAGCAGCAACATTACAAAATGAATCCTAACCAAGGGTGAGCTGGAAAAGACTATCTCTTCTATGAAAACACAATCGCACACATATACACAAACAAACACACTCACAGACATGATTGAGTGCTGAGAGGGCTTTTGGCGCAACACCAGAGACAGGAGGAGAAGGACAGAGAGACCAAAGGGAGGGAAGAGTGATTTGTGATCCTTAGAAGGGACATTTATCACACAAGCTACAAACACCCACACATGTACACAAAACCAACTACAAACAGATGTTGTGTATATTGCACGCCCTGCAGTGGAGGATGGTCGGTTAAGACTTTCAGAACGTAGAGAAACGAAGACTAAGAGCCCAGTTTAAGAGCTTTACTCTGAAACCATACCAGCACTCAGGCTCGGTCCTTTTCTCAATCATAAAATATGAGAAGAAAGCAGAAACCTCTCTGAAGGACGGTTTACTTGACTCTGTAGGTATCGCAATGACATGCATGTTTGATTGACAGCCACACCAGGAGGGTGGAGCCTCACTCTTGTAACTTTGATTTAATAGAAGAGGAACAGACAACATAACTCGCCATTCCGCAATAACTCTGTGCGATCTTGACATTTGTAGTCATAAGTTGTTTTTCTGCCCGTTTAATATGTGAGGCTTGGTACTGAATACGTTAACAGCTTTCATGATGGTTTGCTGCTCAGACTAGAGTCGTTCTCAAATCCTGACCAATTTACCAATTAGACTGAATCAGGCAAATAAGGATAAAATTCTCATTTGGTGTAATCCCTAATCTCAAACATGCACACATTACAGGGTATAACACTAGTGCTGCAATGTTCACTGCAGGATATTATTAAGATCATAATGCGTGCCAGAGGGAGCACCTTGGGGATCTCGAAAGATCTCATGTGATCTTACTAAGAAGTCGATGTAAACAAAACAGCTCACAACAGCCTGATGCAGTTATAATCTAAAGTGAGACAAATCAAAAATAAAAGGTGAAAGGAGTCTGTACAAGGAAACCTTTTGGGAGATATTGTCAACTGGCTGTTGTTAGCTTTAAAAGTCAGAATGTTTACTGTTTCTTGGAAATACCAGCAGCTTCTCCATGTTACCCACTGAGCAATAGACAGCTATTAGAAGTCTAGTTTATTTTAAGACCTAATTTCAACCGTCTAGATTCTGTATATTTTTAGATGGAATTAAGATGTCGCAATTTAACCCATTAACCCATTATGCATAACTGATCTCCAAGTACTTAACCAAACTAATTGTGATAGCCGTTGAGCAATATAAAGTTTAGTATAGATATAGCCAAGATTTAGACTTGGTCTAAACTTGGTCTAAATTAAGACGTCTAAACTACTTTCATTTTTAGACCTGTTGTAGCCTGATTTCAGACCAGTCGTCTAGGCTACATTTAGACGTCTATTAGACCTCTTTTAGACCAAAAAATGCTCAGTTGGTATCTCCTCCTGTCTCATTGACGCCCCATTTCCTGTTAAGAAATACCGTCATATCCAGTGTGTTCCACACATAACAGGGTTTCCCCTAAATGTAATTGATCGTGTCCCACCGCCATGCCTGAATAAAAGCCGCCACACCTTTAGAATTAGGGTTTTTTTTAGGCGCAACCTCGGAGTCGCTATGTAGCAACATACAGGGCACATGTGCTGAGTATTAGCATTAGGAGCTCAAACAGCTGAATAACTTACCCCCCCACCCCCAAAAAAGCTCAACACGCACATTTGTCGCGCCCCCCCCCTTCCCCAAATCACACACCACCATAGATTGACTCTCCACCTGTGGGAAACACTGCATAGACAATACATTGTTGGGCTGCCCAGGTATATTTTTAGCCACGCCCCATACTCACTGTTCTGCTTTTTGATGACCATTCTTGATTAATTATTTAGCATATCCTTTATCATCCCCATTACATCCAAATACTCTGCTGCATACAGGCGAAAGAAACAGAGAGCATAGAGTGTGTGCAAAAAAGCCCTTTGCAACCTCTCTCACCAGGTGTCATTCTGCAGGAAACACCAGAAAACCATCAGTGTTTTAAATTATTCATATTCTTGACATGTTTGAAATAATGTGGGTTACTCCTATGAGTCTGCAAGCTTTTTTACAAGGTTTAAAAATTGGATCTAAAAACACTCAAATTGCTCCATAATCTGGGCTAAACACAGCACCACCCTAAGCCCAAACTTTATTTCTCCCTCTAGAGCAATAGTTAGTTTTAAATTAGTCCAAAACTCATGTAGTCTGTGCCCAGTCATGCCGTTTGTTGCACTTGGTGTCATATCATGGTTGGAATTACTTGTTCAGTTCCCTTATTATTGCAAAGCAGCAGGATACCTCTTATGCCATCATTTATTAATCATGTTAATAGAGAACATGACGATGTGACACATTAATCATTCCTCCCTGGATACAAATGTATGTAATTATAAGAATGGGTATTACGTATGTTGGTTAAATGTAGCATGAACAAGGTCCATGATACCTTGACTGAAACGAGAGGGCTACATCAAGGTTGGTAATATGCAGAGCTCATCTACATGCAGCCAAAAGACCATAATCAGCCAAGTTATCAGCTTAATTAGCATGGCAGAGATGGCTGTAATGAAAATTATTTTCTCTGCTGGTCCCAGGGATCACTGAAGTGCCAGGCTTGTTCTGACGAGTGTCTGAGCCTGTGAGGCCGAAGCAAACATGTTGTAGTCATTGTAAGAGCCCCTTCACCAATGGCTGGCACAGAGCATCTCTTTCTGATGATGAAGAAAATGTGGGTTTTTGCTTCTCCTTTGCTTGGGGACAGAGCTTAAAAATATCTTACATGGATTGACCAGGGATCCTAAAAAAAAGTCCACTTTAACAAACACTTTATAAGATATAAGTGGGTCAGGGACATGCAAAACAAACAACCAGTAGGTTATATCATAACCTTGATAGTCCAAATGGATAGGAGACATCTAACTGAACAACAAAACCCTGAAGTAAATACTTTCTTTACAATATCTCTTTACAATGAATAAAGTGCTGTACTTTGCTTTTACATTGTAATAAATACAGGTGCATCAACAGATACCAATGTGGGGCACTCAGACAAAGGGCTTAACTTGGATAGAGTAGAAAAAGAAATGACAGCTTATCATGGAGCTACAAAATACTTGATTCTGATTGATCAGGCCTATTGACAGTTGACACTGTGGGGAAGATGTTGGTTTCCCACTCCAATCTTTTTTTTTTTTTTTTTTTTTTTTCCTTTTACGACTTAAAGTGTTCTCAGTGGTCTTTAAATTGTGATTAAGAAGTTTTTAGCCCAAATCATGTTACCTGCTAAATGTTCATTACATAAACTTCACATGTATTTTTAAGTTCGTATCATTTCCAAACTTGCCGTTTATTCCTCCAAATGGTAATCTTCTGGGTGTTGGCAGCTGGTTGCACCGGTCCACTGTTGCATTAGAACTGTTTTCTGTATAGTATCGACCCATTATGGCTGCGCTCTTCCACACAGGGAGTGAGAGACGGATATCTACACAGCAAGGGATGGACATTTCTTACAGGGCAAACCAACAAGCAGAGCTTTGAGCAAGAGAATGTAAAATGAAGGCAGGGAGGGGAAAGGATAAGGGCTAGATCAGGACGGAGCATGGCACGTATACACACACACACACACACACACACACACACACACACACACACACACACACACACACACACACACACACACACACACACACACACACACACACAGTTGTCCAATGTTCCAGCTCATTTCACCACAACATCATCCAACAACAGAGGAGCTTCAGATGTATCTGGTCCCACACTGCTTTCACTGCCATGGGAAAGAAAATCAAAAAGGCAATTTTCTTGCAACTCAGGCCCCAAACACACAAACTTTTCTGTGTGCACAGCAAGCCAGTATCAAAGCCGCGACCTCTTGCAGGTCAGGAGGAACACACATGGTCCATCAGCATAATTCAGCGTTAATGTTTATCTCTATGTCTTCACATTTTGGCACAAATAATTTCCTGGCAGCTTTCATTCAAAGACTTTCTGGAGTGCCTGTTATCAGAGAGGGTGGCTCCAGTGGGGATTTTAGAGACAACTCTGGCAGTGTTGGTGTCTTCAAAGCTACAGCTTCTTATGTGCGGGCTATTTTCACTGGCCTTAGAATAATCTTGCACGTTACAAGCATTACTGTAATTAGTATATTTTCCGGCCTTTCTGTTCAACCCCAAAGTTTCTCACCTCATATTGTGTGAGCAAACAACTGGTTGAAAGCTACTTTCTACCCTTTCATTTCTACATCTCTGTTTCTGCCTTTTGTTGTCTGCACATGCCTCCTATTTCCTCTTACCCATTATTTCAACTTTTATTAAACCCATCAAAGACTGTTCCAACTCAAAAATCTTGATGATTTGAACAAATCTCAGCGCTTTTGTCCCTAGACTCCCCTTGCTTTTTTTTCTTTTTTAATTGTATGTTTAGGCTTTTAAGGCTTTTGCACTTAGACTGGGTTGTCGCCTGACAAATGCCCCTGCTGTGTTTTTGTGGTTTTTTTGGGACTTTGTCTTTCATGTTTTAAAAATGAATTGTGTTCTTTGTGATGCTCTGGAGAGCACAGAAAAAGTCTACATAATGAAGACTGAAAACGTTTTCTTTTGTAGTATTTAACCAAACACTTCTGTTGCGTGTTATTTTCTTCCATTTAAAGCACAGACAGTTAAAGTTGTTGAACTTCAAAATTAACACATACCATATATTGTCGTGCACCTTGGCATGGTGTAGGAGTGAGAAAAAGTAGATTACGCTGCTGGTTAAAAAGCCAATCAGCTTGTCGGCTGCAGTAATTTCCACGTAATACTTCAGTCTGGTTGAGTGAAACAGCGTGGCGGAAGCACGGAGCGTGATTTCTTTAATTTCTCTCACGTCCCCAAAGGTATAACACTGACACGCGGCCTGCCAGCTGCTGTCAATCAAACACAGACACAGTCCCGCCCCTCAAAGTAGCTGTGATGAAAAGAACCATTACCCAAAAGACATTTTTACTTCCTATTGATGATAAAATTCCTAATATGGGGGACTTAATCTTTTTGGGTGTTTCTTCTTCATCACGCTTCGCTAACTCGACTTTACAAAGACATTATTTTTCAAGTGTTTCTCTTTTTTTTTCTCCTTTCTTCCCGGATTTGTTGAAAAGCTAACACTTGCACCCTCTAGTGCTAATGTAGACATTTTCACATGAGAAATGAGTGTCCCCGAATGGAAACCTTATCTTGGATTTATCTGACCTCTCCTTTCAGCCACCCCTCCCCTCGCTCTCTCTCTAATAAAAAAAGAAAGCCATAGCTTGGCACAGAGGAGAGGAGGTATCGCTGCAGGGGTAACAGCTGGTATTCTGAACGAGGAACCTGGCACAGGACAAAGAGAAAAAGGAGCAGAGGAAGACGAGATTGAGAAAGAATGGAGAATAGGAGATGGACAGATGGAGGGCAAAATGAAATGTAGGGCTGGAGGGAGGGAGTGAGGGAGGGAGAGAAAGGGATAATGATGATGAGACTTCAGCGGGGCAGCATGGAGCTATTGGCGGGAAAGAAGTGAAACTGATTGGGCTGAGAGAGTTATGGAGGGTGAAAGGAGGGAGAGAGAATGAAAGATGAATAAAAGGGATGGCCAGCAGATAGGGACACCCCTGCTCCTCTCTTTTGACCACTCGTTTCTCATCAAAGATGGATTCTCGAGCACAAAAGAAAGGAAGAGATGGACAAAGTTAGGAGGGAGGTGACCGTCATCGTGTACTTTTCTTTATTTCTTCTTTCTCATTCTGTAAGAACCACTGAGAGCAACCATCTCTGCTATCCTCTCCGATCACAATGTTTTACTCTTTCCTTGTTCTTGCCTGCTGTAGGAGTTAAGTGCTGACGAAAGACACCTGCTATTAATAATGATTAAGCTTCCTGCCTATGCTCCATGAGGTTGCACAAGATGGTATCATTACATTAATCTACAAGCTACTAATGTGTTTTAGGCAACTTCAGAATGACCAGCTGTTAACATACACAACACTTGACAGGAATTGTTGATGGGAATTTATTAGGGATGACAATCGCTAGTGGCCCCACGATATGATATTATCACGATACTTGGGCCATGATACGGTATTATTGAGATTGTTAACATCTTGCAATACAGTGAGTACTGCAATACAATATATTGCTATCACGATACTGTGCTGCATCGATTTTTGCTCCCACCCCTAGAATTTATAGCCAATTAGAGTCAACTGACCTGAGTAATATTAGCATTCAGTCTCAATGTAGCTTTGTATTGGTGTTAGCAAGAACTCCTGAATACAGTACAATACAATTTTATCCAATCTGTTACGATATGATATGATACGATACTAACGATGTAATATGATATGAAACAATGATATGATAAGATACAATACAGTATGATAGCATCCAATCTGTAATGATAGGATACAATGCGATACGATACGATACGATACGGAATACACGAACCACAACACAATACATACTGCTGGACTTTCCACCAACTAACTGAACATTAAAAACAACTTGATTCAAAATTTCTTCTCTAGTCCCTAAAAACAAAATAGGCTGTCACAATACCAGAAATCAACCTTCTACACTTGTACAAGACACCAGAATCAACAATATTATTTCCTGCTTTGATGTAAGGGCAACAAAATTGTAATTCTGCAGCACACTATGGGGAGCTTCTTGCTTCATTTGGAAAAATAACAGGGTTAAAGGAATCAAAGGTGTTTCTCAATATTATGACATGACCGATTTGTAAAACTCCCTCGAAAACATCACTTGTAATCCAGCTGAAGTGTGAGACATTGTCAGTATACGCACAAACCTTGGCCTTGGTCAAGATTTCCAGATGTTCTCATCATATTGCTGTTTAGGACACATCTATGTCAAGGTGTGGACAGTCCAAAAGGAAACATTGATCAGGTGCATTTCCCTGTTTCTTATGTGCAACTGAATATGACTGACTGCTGTGTGAGAGCTGCAAATCTGATGAAGAGCAGGGCAGAAACAGAGATTTCCACAACTGCCCACTTTGGGCTCAACGAAGTACATCTGTCAGATTCTGATCCATTGTTCATTGTTGGCTCGAATCCACTTATACTACCTTATCCACAGAAGATAAAAGTGTTATTTTGAAATGATCAGATGGTGAGGTAAAGTCTTGAAAAACCAGATCCTGCTAACTTTGAGTATTTTCTGAACTAATTTTCAGTCTTTACTGTAATTATGTTCATATCTCGCACACTATCTTTAGCAGTTTGTTAATTAAAAAAGCAAGTGTGATGATGAGTCTGTCTTTACTTTACTAAAGCGTAACTCTTCATGACCTCAGAACTAATGTTTATGAAGTTTCTATCTTGTGTATTTTACATAAGCCAAGCCAGTTGTTTCATATTGGTTTCAAGCAACAACAACAAAGGAAAGGAATGAGAGGCAATGTATTCTTAGGTAGACGCACTCGCACTCTCTCCTATCAGATATATACATAGTTGGCAGTCAACCAGCACATCTGTCTCTCTGTGGTAAATGTGCCAGTCTGTACCAGCTCAGCCCAGCCCAGGGTCCTCTCTCTCTCTCTCTCTCTCTCTCTCTCTCTCTCTATCTATCTCTCTCTCTCTCTCTCTTTCTCTCTCTGTCTGACTCACTCCTCTCTCATCCCTCCTCTCTTGGTCTTTTTCTTGTTTTGCACCTACATACCTCTTGCTTTGCTGTGTTTTTTGCCCTTCTCACCCCACCTACATTGACTGTCCTTCTTCCTTCTCCTGCTTTCTGCATCCCCTCCCCTCTCTCGCTCTCTCTTTCCTTCTGTTCGGTCTTCTCGCCAGCAGAGCCCCAGGGTTAAAACATGCTGGCAACTACTAGTCTGGCAGGTGTGCACATATAAGTGTGTGCGTTGTGGGTGAGGGGTTGCTTCATTACACAGCTGACTTCTGCAGTATCCGTTTGTGCAATTCCTTAGTCGGTTCCATATAAAATGTCACATAACATACGAGATGCCAGTTTGCCAGCTGCTCCCTGAAAAACAGCGTGTCAGTGTGTGTGCTATATGTGGGTGTAAGGCTGCAGCTAAGACCTATTTTTATTGTTAATTAATGCGCCTTTTACTTTCTGTGTTGGTGTAAGTCTTTAAATGTCAAAAAGTTGGAAATCACCCTCCAAAATTCCCAAGATAAGGTCTAAGACCCCCGAACCCCAAATTCCCAATATTGAAACATTCCAGTTTTTCAACAGCTGGCTAACTTTCTGGCACTGAACAACTGTTTATTGTCTTCTATTCTGTTTTTTGGCCTTATTATAGCACTGACACAACTTGTTCCGAGTATTTCTGCATTCAAAACAAGGTGTTTTAAGGTGTTGTCTATATGTCACTTTAAATCTTCAAAAACAAAGATTACATGTGGGGTTCCCCAAGGCTCCATCCTGGGGCATTCTCTGTTTATATATATATATAACATATAGGTGGATACAGATATACCATGACTTATCATTTCAAGTAATAATCACCATATTAATCATTTTGCACTACAGACGCGTTAGTTCTTCTGCCTTAGCTTCTCGGTCTGATTGCATTTCCATAAAGAAATGATCATAAATGTTCTTCCTTGAGCTGCATCACCCCGAGGCAGTCAGTGATGGACTCGTCCAAGATCTCCTTAAAAACAAGCGGCTGCAAGAGGGGAGTAGCTGAGTTGTGTTTAGTCTCTTCGCTAAAAAAATTAGGCAAAGCTAAAAAGATGTTTGATGGTTAGTGCTGTGGCTGGGACCCTTTATGTACTGTTGATGAAGTTAGTCGCTGTTCTGAGCATTATTTGTGGCTATAGAGTTGCTTTTTTGGTTGAGGTTTGTGTATGCCTCCTTCGACAGCTGTGTACTGCTATCGTGTGGTCGTGACTAGAAATGGTATAACTAGAGAAGCTAGCGGTCAGCAACATTCATCTCTCGAGGGGGTCTGTAACATGGTGTTATGGTGTGTTTGACTCTAACTTAATTCTATGCCAGAATATCCCTTTAATATTGCCTAATGATAAAATGACTTAAAAAGCGAAAAACCATCACAAAAGAGAAGCTAATACCAACAGATGTTTAGAGCAGATAATGACTGAAATTATGGCGAGATTACCAGAAAAGCAAATTTTTGTTAGAATAAACTGTGTACGTTCTCATCAAGCATGGTAAATGTTTGTTTACCAACTCCATACCCATTTGTAGGCTTGTTGTATGCACACTGATTCAAACTGTGCTTTACTGTTTTTTATTTAGCACCAACGGGCCGTTTGTGTAGCACTGACTTGCACTGTGTTTCCCTAAAGTGTACATTTGATATAGAACTGTTTGATTAGCTGAGACATTCAGGTCCTTAACGCGCATAGCTTGGTATTCCAGCCGTGACAATCATAACACACCAGACACACTCCCTCCGTCACAGTGGCAATTATAGCCCAGACACAATCAAACACAAATGAAAACACTTAATGGATACGAGAGTCTGAAGAACATAATACAGCTGTTTACGATGCAACTGCTAGTTTGTAACCACATCAACTGCCTGCTAATTCCCAATTTTTACAGCCTAATGGTCAAAAACAGACACATGTGCAACTGAACACAGCTTTAAAGTCTGATAAGAAGATCACATCTGTGGGTGTTAACAGCTTCATTGGTGCTGTTACTGGTGTAAAGGGACTTCGTTAATGTCTTAAACGAAAACAACATAAAACCAAGTCCAGACACCCTAACACATGCATGCACTTAATTAGACTCAGGTAGACACACATTTTTGGTACACACATCCAGACACTGAGATGCCTCTGGCAAACTCTTGCTCATCCCTGACACAGGCGCTCACACTCACACACACATACCTACACATGCACACACACGCACTGAGCAACACACACACACTCACACACACACACATACACCATGATTAAAGACCAGGGCCATCTGGCGCTGTAAAGAGAGCAGGGGGGAAAGCACCCTCATAGATGCTGATGCAAGCCTTGAGACATGTCCTTAATGTCCTCATTTCCTTCTCTCCTTCCTTCCTCAGCCCGTCTCCTTAATCATATCCTCTATTTTTTTTCTCTCCTCTTTTTCTTTGTATAATCTTTCCTTTCCTATTCTTGCGAATCCTCCATATTTCCTCATGTTCAGGACTCATCGTGGGAGATAACCTGTGTACCCAGCAGGTCCCTTTTTCTGGCCAGCAGCAGTTAACAGATGCTCGGGGAGGTTTGCTGCTATAGCTGCTCCTGCTGTTGCTATGAGACTGATGAAAATGTGAGCGAGGCAAAGGAGCCTTTTACACAGAGACAGAGGATTAAAATAAATCAGATGTGAGTGTAAAAAATAAATAAATACGAGAAACAATTGAAAGATAGATTCAGAAAATTCAAAAAGTTTTTTTAATGAGGAAGCCAAAGCTAAAAACATATGCTGGGCGCAGCTTTGATTAGGAGGTAAGCCCAGAATATCTCATTTCAATCAGCGTTTACTTTTTCAACTGGAGAGTTCCTCCACCATTTATTTTTTTTTGGTAATTTATTTATTTTTTTCACTAGGTCTCTTGAACCTTTAACTATTTTTTCAGATTGCTACAATAATATACACTTTTCTTTCATGTATATTTTAAGTTTCAAAGAGAGACTTTAAGTTTGTGTTGGTTTTGGTATCCCCTGTGAAGAAAGCGGTGCCACTTATCTCTTCGCTGATCCTGCAGACAGCACTTTGAGACAGGAAGTCAACAAAATGAGCAATCCACAATGTTAATTAATCTCAGGTGTCCATAAATTAGAGTTTATCTTGATATTTGTTTGATTAAATAAGACATAGTTTTCATTTTCAGAGACCACTAATGAATACCAACAGTGTTTCAATGTAGATATACACTGCAGGAAGCAATTGCATTATCGTTTGCATAAATGGGTTAAATTGGGTGTTTCAGTAGATAATTTTAAGCCATTTTCATGAATCATAATACAGTGTAATAATACACTGCTGCATACAGAACCTAATATTTGGTAGAAACTTTTTGATTGCTTTTGGGAGCAGTTTAGGTGCAATGTTGATTTCAGCTCAAAATACCTTTTACTAAGGATCACTTTCATTAGAAGTATTTACGTATTTCATAAGACTAAGATTCGGGTTCGGATTGGTGCTAATTAGAGAGATTGATTAATACATTGGCCAATTAAGTTGGCTGATCAATGACATTTTATCATAAATGAAATCATAGGAGCATCAACCTTTGCAAGGCAGATGTCAACATTACCTTTAAAAATTATTTTTTCTGTCTCTAATGACAGCCACAGGCTTGTGTTAGTTATAATTTCTGACTTGATGCATAGATTAATGCAGTTAAATAATAATACAAATATTTACCATGCATTTTTTTCTGTCTTACAGATTTCAGATAGCTGGGCAGAAATCCAAAAGTTGCTCGTTTTCCTCTCTACAATAACTTAATTAAATATTCACCCGTTTTTGATTTCTTACATTGTCTGCGATGTATACTGTATCAGCTATCAGCCAACTTGCTCTCTCGGCAATTGCAAACTGACATTGATGGACAACAAGTGTCAACCCTTGGACCAAACACTGTATGCAGTGCAACATTCTGGCTTTTATTTTGGTGATTCCCTGGGTTTGTTTCTCCTGTGGAGTCTGTGTGTCCTCTGTTTCATATTGATCGGGCGGTTCCCTCTTGCACTGGCTCTCCCTGCACACTCACACCTGCACCTAATCACTGCAATCACCAGCAGCTCTGAGGCTCTGCTCAGATGCCTCTCCAGTGCCAGATTATTTCCAGCTTCACATGTGGTACATCAGCTGTTCCTGCTGGAGTTATTTTGTGCTTCTTACTACTTATTGAACACTGCCTATGCCTTTCCTGTAATTTACCTGTGTGTGGTCTGCCTTTCCAGTGCCCCCACAAGCCCCAGTACAATCCGCTCAATCTCAGTCACGCTGCCACACTCTCTGGATTCACCTACTCCAGCCACAAACCCTCACACCTCCAGTCCTCACCATCCTTGGACTCCCTCCTGAATCCCTTCCCCTTATCAATAAATTCACTATTTATGCTTTATCTGCCAGTTGTTCTGCTTCTGGGTTCAAATTAAAGCATCGGGTATCACACCATAACACAGTGTGAAGAATGACATCCTTTAGGCACAGCAATGTGGTAAATTAAAGCTGTCTTGTCTCTTTTCCTCCCTCTGATCACCCATTTTGAATTAGAATACACTTTGTTACTGGCAGCCGTGATCTTCACATGAGGATGTCTCTGCCAATGGTTTTGGTGCTGGTTCAGGCCGCTGCACAAAGCTTCAAAATCATGAATGGAGAGGCAAAGAGGGCAAAGTGCCCAGCCACAGTAGGATTTACTGTAGCTTTATTCTGCTCACAAAGAAGAGAGACACTGTTGCTTTAGCAGAAGAGGGGAAAGAGGATGGAAGTATTATCCCTTCTTTAAACTGGCAAATGTATGTGTATTAATTAGCAGTAGAGATGGAGGAAGTGTTACTTCTTCCCACTCCATTTTTGGATGTGTAAAAATAATTTAATTTGGTGTTGGAACAGTCTTTTGAATATCTCGTTGTAATTTTAGCATTTTTGTGTCTGTTCATCTGCTTGTTTGTGGGTTTACGCCTTTTTATCCACATCTTTGAAAAGACCAGTTTCAATGTAATTCAAGTTCAACTCATTTGACAGAACATGTAATGAAATGTTGTGAAACAAGAGTGAGTCACCCTGCACATTAGGGTGCAAACAGCACAGACTGTGTTTGATTCAGTTTGTTCCTGACAGACTGCTTTAAGGCTATTGGATGTGCATATAGAATACATGCATAACCACAGTCAAAATGGACACTTAAAGGAGGGGTGGGCAGGATTCCATTAAAGAAGCATCTTTTCTTGTGGTGTTTATACAAAAAAAAGCTTTTAATATCAGTCAATAGCTATTAGTGATTAATGACATTTGGTGATATAATGATATTGCTGTGTTCTCTTATGCCTGTGTAGTCAACATTTTCAATTTTTTGAGCGGCCCGCTCTTTCTGACTGTAAACAAAGCTGTTCTCCACCTCCCCCAACCTGATTGGTTGTGAGGCAGACGCTGCTCCGTTGTGTTGTGAGGCACGCTCCACATCCTTCAATAGCGTTCCCACACAAAGTTAGCGTGCTACAACATCGGACAGTAGAAGTCAACCAGAAAGTATGAAAAACACAACTAATAAAACAAAGTTAATACCGGAGACTCTGGCGGAATAACGGCTGCTTAAAACGAAGGAAGACCGGACAAGAGCTAAGAACCCAGGTCAACATCAATGAAGCTAGCATAAATGATGGGGGACACTTCGGGATCTTACGGACCCTGCAAACATAGTGTTTACTGGTAGTCTGTTGGCATTTACAGTAACACCAATGCTTTTTACTTTCACGTTGACTGGGCCCCATTCATAATTATATGAAGTATTTATCTGCATTATATCTTAATTTAATTGGAACAATACGAGCGAGTAGGAGTGTCTGTTTGTGGGTGGGGCTTGTTGGAGCAAAGAGGGAGGGGAGAGGAGGAGCTGAGGGGAAAACTGGTTGGGAGGGGTAGTGTTTACATTCAAGATTTCTCCCAAATACTGGCACTTCCTCAGATCCTGCCTACCCCACCTTTAATATTTTAACGAATGTCAAATTAATTTGGCAATTTCATTTTTTCTCATCAATGTTTTTAGAGAAATTTCTGAACACATTTGTACAGTTTTACAGCAGCCAGATTTTCACAGAGGAAGAGTCCTCTTCCCATATGTCCAAGTCCATATGTTTAAGTTTTAATGAAAAACATGCTGCAGGCCAAAAACGGGGGGAAAAAAAGGACTAACTGTGTTTATAACACTCATGTTAGGCTCGATTTAGGGTTTTTATTTTTCTTCATTTTTCTCTCATACAGTCAGAAATGTACCATTTTCCACGAAAAATATACATTTCTTGAGGTGGTTCTGTATAAATGCTGTGCTTCTCCTCACTCCACTATTGATTCTCTCTCTACTTATTATTTTCTCCCCATGAGGTAAAAGCACTCTGGAGATTTAAACCAACCTATGCTTAACTAATCTAGGAAACAGTGTATTTTAATATGCCAAGGTATATGCTAATCACCAGAAATGTGCAGCTGAACACCTACTTAAATGCAAACATAGGACTCTCCATCTGTCCCTGGGGCAAGAGAGGAGGAGGTAATTTACATGATTAATTACCTATACCTAACAAGCACAGGCGCTGTTCAGGGCTTCGAGGGTTCCTCACGTAGCATGTTGATGTGTGTGTGTGTGTGTGTATGTGTGTGTGTTTGAGTTCAGTTTTGCAGGTCTATTCCAGACTTAATAGTCTAGTCAGGTAATGATCTATAATTAATGATGCAGTCTAATTTTGCAGTCCTATCATTCTGTAAGCTATGGGAAAAGTTGGCTCTAATTCAATTCAACACTTTAAATTAACTCCCCGAGTAAAACTTTACATGAAAAACTCCAAGTAGGCATAAACACTCCAAAGGAATATAAGGTCTTATTTTTTCCGCATGGCTGTTGTCTATGTGTACGAAAAGTGAAGGACCTTCAGAAATGGTTTTAGCTGCAATGCCTGTCCAACAACACTGGAAACTAGAGTTCACCCCCTTTCAATTGGCCTCTACATAACCCGTGTGCAGCAGATGTTTTGTAATAGAGTGGGTGCTGTTGTCAGGTCAGAGTCGATTTAAAGATCAGAGAAGTCAAAGAGGAAAAGACAATAAAAGGTTGAAAGTTGAGGAGGGGAGCTATGAACTACAACTATGAAAGCAGTGGAGAGGGTCTGGAGAGGCAGTGGATGTCCTACTTTTATAGTCAGAGAAACGTTTGCTTTAATGTCTTGCAGACAATGGAAGATTTTGCAGCAAAGTGCAAAGAAATAATGCAGAAGTAGAAGGTCTCTCTCTCTCTATCTCTCTTTCTCGCTCTCTCTCCCTCCCCTCCCTCTTTCATACTGACTGCAGACATATGGGCTTGTTCATTACCTGTAATGTGGCATAATAACAGCTTCCACATGAGGCATATGTGTGTGGGCAACTGTATGAGTGGGCAAGTGGGCACTGTGTCCAAGTGCATGCAGCTGTGTCTGAGTGTGAGTGTGAGTACCTTTATGTGCATAAAAGCTTGTGTGTGTTTTCCCATCTGCATGCTCTTGTGTATGTGTTGTGATTAGGCAACAATCAGAGGCTAACAAGCTAGATATATCCCAGATCAACACACACAGATACACACACTGACACAGAGAGCAAAATGCGTACTCCAGGAGATGAAAAAACACTTGTGCAGTGGATTCAATATCACAAGTCACAATTATTCACTAACATCCACAGACACACAAACACAGACTTTTGGCATGTTTGTGTTAAGTCAATGAAGTATGACAGACAGTAGCACGAAGAGAGTGAAATGTTTTACAGGAAATCTATTCCAGCAAATAAACTCTTTGTGGTTTATTTGAGATGGTGAAGCATATTGATATTGATCAAGTTTTTGTAGCAATTTTGTGGACTGAAGGCAAAGAAATTCCCAAACTGATCCAGGCTGTTATAGCCAGTTATCGTTAAGACAGATGAACAGGTATAGAAATGAATTTTAGAGCCACCAACAACATGGTTATGATTAATGCCATAGAATGTACGCCGTCTGAACAGCGCCCTCTGGTGACCGGCTGCAGTATAGGTCATAAATCCTGCCTCCGCCAGCCATCCTTGGGCAAACTTTCGAAATTTATTGCACAGAATATAATATTTTCTCCCCCCTGGTAGTGATGTTGACATGTAGTTACTGTGGGATTGTTTTGTGCTCAAGTCCTCTTTTTTTCTGTGAAGCTCCATTCTAAAAAGTTTTTAGGGGGTTCATGTTTTCTATGATTGACACTTGATACAGCCTATGGGCGTACAAAGATTGTGTAGCTCATCTGGGGATACGCTGTTTGAGCAAAGCGTCATCACAGCGACTCTCCCGGCGAATGCGTACAATGCTACCGCGCAATGTTGGTTTCAGGAGGTGGAGAAAAATCGCAGAAATACCGAGAGCTTTTTAGCTTCAAATCCGTTTAAAGGTGGGAGGTGGAACCAAGTTGTCCATAGTATGTACAGTCTATGATTAATGCTAACACTGATTTCTCCCATCCTTTCACAACCACTGATACTGTCAATTCAGTAAGAAATAGTGAATGTGTTGTTTCAGGTTACACAAGTTGGAAACTAAAGAGTTACACTTTACTTTCTAGTCTCTCCATAGGCAACATCCAGTGTCATTTACTCTACTTATAACACTTTTCTTGGATTATGTAATAAAATGCAAATTAGACACAGAAGATCCCCCGCCTAGTTACACTCGAGCCAGCTTTCACTGGAACTGAGGGTGAAAAATGAATTGGACATAAAAGGATATTATGTCCATTGTCCTGAAAAAGAGCCTTATAGAAATTGTGAATGTTATCAGCTCTGTTGAACGGTGTCACCACTGACTGTTCTGTACTTCACCTGTGAGGCACACTCAGGAGTAGAAGTCATTTAGTTTATAGGGGTCCTTGTGTGGGAATCAGAGAGTCACCGATTTAAGTCCCATCGCAGAGTTGGTCTTGTACCAGTTTACTTCATGGGCTTCAGTGCCTTGCCTAAGGGCGTAGCGGCAGTGCCCAAGTTGCTTGGCATGCTATCTGGCGTCCCTCCATTAGTGCTGTTTGTAGAGTTCTTGGTGCACATGTTTGAGTGTAACTTGCGACTATTATTCATAATAATAATAATAATTCACAAATCCCAGTAATTGAAGGTTATGTTTAGGCACGATGCTTATACATTGCCCACCCTCTTTCCATGTTGCACTATGAATATACACACACTGTACACTAGGTTTCAAAACTCTGTAAACCAGCATTTCCAACATGACAACAACCATTGTTGGGCTTCACTTGGGGGCATGTCACTGAGATGATCTTCACATTCACTGTCTTTGGATGATTTGACTGCTGGACTGACAATCACTCAAGGTCTGAAACAACAAACACACTGCATGTCAGTCTGGCCACTTTTACAGCCCCCTGCTTCTTTTCTCTGTGAGTTATAGTTGACTCATACTGTAATCAAGTCATCTCTCATTGTTTCGCTATAATAAAAAGGCAGAGGGGGAGGGAAAATAAATAGGCTCCTCGAGTTGCTGTTAGGGAGTGTGTGAAGAAGATTAGAGACATTCATCATAAAAATACACAGGTTATAACGTCATATTACTGTACCAATGCTACAAGGTTATTTATAGTCTTTTTCTGTCGTCTTAGTCTGACAGAAAATCCATAAAAATACCATAAATATGTGGTAAGAGGAGCGCAAATGTGGAACTTAAGGACATATAAAAGGAGATAATCCAATCATACAATGATCACACTACCAATGAAGATATCATCTAAAGAAAGTGTGGTCAATCTATACGAATAAATGTCAACTCCAGCACATGTCAGGGGTTTCTCCTCTGGTAGTAACTGCACACACTCTTAAAAACGCACAAATAGGTGCAGGCGAAAGTGCATCGATGAGCGGAAGTATGTTCTTTAAGAGCATGGCGAGTATTCGCTGGAGGTTTCTAAAGCCTTGCCAACAGTTAAACCTTGTTTTTTCTGCCAGTGCCTGCTGTCAGCTCCACCTGTGCCATGAAAAGACACACACAGCTGTCTCACCTCAGCGCAAATGCAGAGGGAAAGGACGTGTTTCAAGCTGTGAAAAGTAGTTAAGTAAACATAAGACAAAAAAAAAAGAAAAAAAAAAGGTGTGTTGGGGGGACTCGATGGAAATAAAATGAGAGAAATGACAAAGAACAACATGAAAATGTATCTGGATGGTAACTTCGAGATGGTGTTGGAGGAAATTCTAATAACGGTACTTTAGGTGAGTTCTTTTGTGATGTTGGAAAGGGAAAAGAACTTGTTTGAAACCCTTTAAATCCACAATGACCTGTCTTATCTCCGTCTTTCATGCTTTATGTCTTTGTCTCCACCTGCCTTCGCCGATTTCTCTTTCCCAGTAAAAAGCTCAGATATGCAGATATGTTTGAGTTACTGTGACACCGCAACAGAAATAATGTACGGGTCAGAACATTTTTCAGCACTATCTCTCCGTCCTCGCTGACTTTTGTCTCATTCCCTGCCTCCTCGTTTTTCTTGCAACCACGGCAGCACTTAGTATTCTGTCTTAGTCAGTGGGTATGAATGAAAGTGAGCTGGAACTGCTTACAAATAATCAACAGAGCTCGTCCTTTTCGGTGCTGAATCTGACAATTTGGTTGCTCGAGTTTGGAATCCATCATGCCATTGTATCACTCCAGAGAGCTGTGGGACCTAAACGCTTTTGTGAAGCCAAATCAAGCAGATTTTGGCCTCCACATTGACTAGTTGTTTGCCTTTCCCCAAGGCTGTAGATAAATGATTGAATTTATATTTCCACTACCTTTACCACTCAATCTCAGCATTTTATCGTCTGTGAAGCTTCTCACTTCTAATGAAAGACTGACTCACCATTCCCAACCTTTGGTGCGTTTCTCTTTCTTCTATAAATCACGGACCTGATCACTTGTCTGCCCGGCTGTCTCTCTCTTTCTACCTGCCAGTCTTATTCTGTGGGCAGCTTTTGTTATTTGTCGCCAAGCTACAGTTGTCTCTCAGACTTTCCTGTATCCTTCATCTGTTTACCTTTTGCCCTCCCCCAATCTGTTTACCGTCTTCCTGTTTTCAACATCCAACTGGCAGACTAGTTACCTGCCTGCCTCAGCCATTTTGGATTGGTTTGCCATATTTTACTGCCAGTGCTTGGCCAAGTATTCGAAACTAGGGATGGGTAAGACTGCTGATTGCCTGAATCTGTTTGGTTACAATTCACAGGGTCATGATTTGATTTCCAGTGAATGATATTTCAATTAAAGTACCATTTTCTTTTCCAGTACGACAGACATTCTCAGAAGACTATTTTTACAAATGTTAATATTACTTCTGTGCTCTTTCTAATAAACAGTGCAGTCCTGCTCTTTGTGTTGGGCGTCGTGAGATAATATTTGTTGTGAATAGAAAAAAGATTTAATGATCAATGAATAATCCTGTTAATTGTACAGGGCACCTTCTATCAGAGAGCATTATTAAGAATATTGACGTGTACAGGTAGAATTGACCTAAAAACAGAAGCATGTATGCGCCTGGCTGTATGTGTAAGAGTGACATGTAGCATGGTATACATATTATAATGAAGCTTTGGAAAACAGGATTATCAACACTGCTGTAAAGACGTATATCAGAGCATTTGATAGTTAGCTTTTTGCCGCTCTGAGAGCAAGATGGTAACAGAAATGTTCCCTCCTTTTCCTGCAGTGTCTCTCTCAGGTTGTGCACCCTTAACTGGAAGATTTGTGGTATTTTTACTGTATTTTACCTTCGCGTTGTACATCTTGTGCCTCGTTGTTTTGAAGTTTTGTGCTCTAAGGTTTGTCTGGCCTTCAGTATAGCGTGTGTCACACCAGCCTTTTACATGGCCAAATCTTGGTCTAGAGAGCTGGTTTCATGTGAGGGGCCAGCAACAGAAAAGAGAAACATGTTAAACATAGATCTCAGGATTTATGTATCCTTTCCTAATCATTAAATTAAAACTGATTGGATTTGTAAGCTTAGCTTTATATTAAAGATTAGATTATTGTGTAATCAGGCTTGGGTACCAGTTCTATCAAGCAAATTAAAGAAAGACCAAAGTCTTGCCTGGTACATGCAGAAAAGATATTATTGTAAATCAACCAAATAATTCCAATAACCAAGTCATCCTACGCAAAAAATACAGTTTTCTTCGGTTTGGTTTGCCTGAAATGTACTGTATAGCAAAAAGTCACTGTAGCAAGATGACTCAGATGAGTTAACACAACAGAAGCTGAGAGAAGATGTAAATCCTTGCTTTTTAACTTTATTTGAATTTGAAGATGTTTGTGAAAGTGCACAAAGTTAGTTGGATTCTCACTAGGAGTCTACAAAAGCAGCCTTCAGCTGAAGTATCTTGGGAAAAAACACTTTCTCATTCAATGCCTCCTCCTGTTTACCACAAGGTGGGTTTTTCGGATTTGCATTTATGAACTCTGCACAATTTTTCAGAGCTGTTTTGTTATATAATACACAAGCACTGCTGCAGGCACCATGACAAAAAGACCAAGTTTGTAAAGACTGCCTGATGATCATTGACAAACTGATTAATTTGTTCTCCGTGAAGCCATCATAACTATGTAAGTCAGACTGGTGTTTAAATGTTTAACTTCCACAGGGATTTTCTCGATCTGTTGACACGTTAAACTTCCGTGAACCTCTAAGCAGGGCAGCTCATGTTGGCCAACTTAACTCAACATCCCCGGGGAACGGACTCTATTATTCACAAAGTCTGCTCCAGATTCTTGTGGACTCACAAGCACACTCAGCCACCTACACACAGATACATTTGTTACTTATCTTACAAGCTATGTTCACAGTACATGTACAGTCTTTCTTCAGTTCAGTTCGTACTTACTGTTAATTTCATATAATTAAATTCATTCTGAGATTCTGAGAGGACATGCACAGTAAGATTAGTTTTACCGCAACCAGGAAAAAAACGCTTTTCACCTCAAGCTGCATCAGCTATCCCTTACAATCGCGTTAACTCCCTCTGTTTTTGATGTTTGTATGAAGTTAGATTGGTGTGAAGTCCTGATTTTGTGGAATGAGTCATCATAGAAAATAATCTGGGCTCAGTTTCATGAAAATAGTCCATCACAGAGGCCGTGCTGTTGCTCAGAGCATTTGTAGGAGCACTCTTAAGTCTTTTAGTTCAGCACAGTGCAGAAAAAAAAGCAAATACTACAGAGTCCCAAAGAGTATCTGAAGTGACTCAAGACTTAAGCCACAATCCGTACCTAGACTTGAGATCTTAAGCTGAGACATTAAGAGGACAAGTTGTGCAGAGTGTGTGAAAGATCAGCAGTGATGTTAGCTGTTTCTTGACTGTACAGATAAAAAGTCCTCAAGGGAAGGAAGGTAAGCGATCAGCACTCCTGACTATCTGCCTCCTTCCTCCTCATGGGATGAAATAAATGTCACTTCAATCCTGTGACCCGAGGATTCTTGTTTGACTTCCCAAACCCCAACATTTTGAAATCTCGTGAGCCGTGCATGTTGATATAATTTCTAATAGGACCGCTTTATTTTAAAACGCTGATACTATGGCTTGTAAAAGACATAATGGTTGGGGATGCACTGATCCAATATTTGATATGGGTATTGGTCCCGATACTGAAGTAAATTCTAGACCGGGTATCGTGACAATGGGCCCAATACATAGGAGCCAGTCTATTCAGTCTAATTCTATGCTATGCGCCATGAGTGGCATCCACAAGTAAACATGCTGAACGGGTGCCCACATTGCTTTCAAAATGGAGTAAGCAAAGGGGTCTGCTATCTTGAACTCTATCACAATACCTCAGCCTTGCAATACCTGCGCAGTAAACGTTCTGAGGGGCAAGGGTAAAACTCCAGATTACAACAAAAGGTAATTTAGCGCGGCTTTTCTCTATCAGAATTGGATTGGTATCAGCCGATACTAAACTGTAGATATCCGTATCGGTATCAGAGGTGAAAAAATCGGATCGGTGCATCCCTACAGTGAATTCTCAACTTACTGCCATAAAGTATAAACTTCATGTGTTGAACAAATGCCTTTTTATTGCATATTTCTAAACTCTGCATCGGTCAGACATGCTTCAGAGCTGAAATGTGGGACTTTTCATCTGGGTGATTTTGTTTTTGACACTTGTGCCATGAAAACTCTAGGGACCCTTCCTAAATTCTCCTTTCAGTCTGACACCATCACCAGCCTGTTAATATGAACTAACAATCATATCATTTACCTATAAAGACTTCTTTCTCTAGAAATAGACTTCTGAGGAGGGGTAATGAATTAATCAAGTGAAGTGATGTTCATGCATCCTTCAATTACCCAATCAGTTCTGTCATTCAACTACAAATACATAACACAGTAGGCCTGTGTACTTAAAAGCGTTGTGATTAGTTCCTTTTCAAAGCTTTTACTGAGATTTGCTTCACTTGTTTATAAAAAGGTTTATTAAAGGGGAGAGAGGAATGGAGCGAAGAAGGATATGAAAGTGGTGAAAAAAGGGAGCCTTCATGTTTTTTTTTTAATAACAGGATTCAATGAATTCAAATGCACGTTCAATATTTACAATCTTAGTATGTGTGAGATAATGAGAGGTGGGTGATGACAATAAATCAGCTCCAATCACCATGGTAACAAATGACTCATTCTCTGTGTACTGCTAGCATTTACTGTTATTATTCTTCTGTAGTGGAGTTTCACTGCATGGATTCATTTGTAAGACTTTATGAAGGGAAAACATAACAAAATAAAAAGTTTTAATATAAAGCAATACATTCACAAAAAAATAAACAAGTAATATAGAGTTTATTTGCTCACAGTGAGTCATCTCTGTCCAATTTCTGTTGTCTTCATCTATTTAAGGAAGTTATACATTGTCGTTGTGAGCGTATTACCATACCATTTAAGTGGGACAGCAGTAGAAAGAGGGATTTTATCACCACTAACTCTTTTGCTGTGGATTTCACAGTTTGAATTGTGCATAGTTTTTGGATATTATCAATGAACACTGTCTGTATCAATTAAATAGTTACTATCTGCAGCAGCAAGATTTTAATATAACCTGCTGTAACCAGTATTTTGCATCAATGTCATGATTTAGTAAAATCTGTCACTCATTAATTTACTATTATGGGCCAAAAGAAACCAACCAAAATTGTGTTGTGAATTAACCTGCCATCAGCAGAGGATGTAGTTTAAGTCAGTAGCTAACTGCTTTGACACTGCTGTAATGAATAATAACCTGCAAGTAGGACCCAAGAGTGGTGGTTCCAAGATTACTGGCAGTTCTGGCTATAAGGCCCCAAACATTGGCCGTGCTTGCTTTTAGACTACTAATAAAGTTGAAATCTAAGTTTCTCACTTTGGATTATCTATACTAGCAACCTGTTTGATTTTTTAAGCTTAGTGCCTCAAAGACGTTAAAAAGAAGTGTGCACTACAAGCAAGCAGTAACATTTGGGCTTGAGAGATTAAGCTTATGAGGATGCTAATAGTTGCAGTTCTTTGAATGTCCACTTGAGGCTGGTTGGAAAAACACCAAGATCTGCATGGACACCCATTCAGAAAGCCTTATTTTACAGGAAAATGAAACATATGAAATAAAAAAGGGTTCAGCCAAAATAGCTGATTTACCAAACTACATACTCTTTCTCTCAAAAATTGACTTTTTTTTTTTTTCCCTGATTTAAGGCATGGCTGATTTGACTGACAGGGTCACTGTATCTGTCAAAGAGGAGACTGAATGACCACCCCAACTGCACCTCTTTGCTTCCTGCAGGCTGAGCCAGCATCACCACAGCTCCCATATGAAGCTTTAAAAACCTCGGCTTCACAAACAAACAGGTGAGGTCACTTGGACTACATGTCCATGTTTTGCACAGTTATGGTAAAAACACTAAGCAGCTTCTTGCAACACAGCAAAAAAAAGAGTTGATTTAAACACAAGTCTCGCTCCTGAAAAAGTAAACAGGCAATCACGTGAGCCTGGTTTTTAGGGGGCACCATGTGTGGCCGGTCAGATGTAAGGGAAGCCCATGCTACCTCAGCTCCCTGGTCACGAAGGGAGGAGGACTAAGACAGCTCATCTTTATGTGTGAAATGCAGTTCACACAAAAGACATTCTTGCCAGTAAATTCTCAATGACTTCATCTAAAACTCTTCCTTAGGCAGCTGTAATGTTTGCCCTGATTATGACAAGAGACTCATGCTTTAAGTGTTTCTACTGATTCATATTCTAACATGTACATTTTTTTTAATTATTAAAAACAACTGGGGCTTTAAATACTATTCTTCTGCAAATGAATGTAAATGAACGCAGGAACAACTCAGACTTTGTCCAGTACTCCAGGAAGAAGTGTCTCATCGCATCCCACCCCCACTCCCCTCTTCAGCACTTATTAGTGTCAGGCTCTTCACAGGACGTTTTATCATCTATAAATGGAGGCCTCATTTTGGGGCTAATTTCGCTGCTTTTATTTTGGTCTCTCTTTTGTTGTTGTTTATTACATTGCAGCCCTTTTGTTCAGGCAGTGTTTGACAATGGAGTTACCCAGCTTGGGGTGAGGGGTAATTAGAGAGCTGGGGAGGAGGAGGAAGACAGCAGGAAAGAAAGAGATTGGAGGGCAGGGATGAAACATGCAGTGCAGAGTAGCAGATTGAAAATAAATGTAACTCGTGTGCAGTAAATTTTCGTCATTTAGCTGTGAAGAGCGCAGTCAAACACACCCGCATAAAACCACACCTGTGGCCCCGGTACCCACTACGCCTACTGATGATTATCAAACCCACTCTATGAGAAATGATCTGGCAAGAGGAGAGAAGAAAAACACAGAGAAGTTGAGCAAGAAGGGATTAATAGCAGCTCCCTGATACTTTTCTGTTTTAGTTTTTTTTTTTTTCAATCTCCTCCTTTTGTTGTAAGTGGAGTCCAAAGTACACAGACACATATCACACCCATGCACTAACACACAACTGCTTACACACACACACCTGTCAAAGGAGACCATTGAGAATGGCAAGTGAGTTGGCTGCTGCCAAAATGGCTGCCTTTTGTTTACAAATCTCATTATCCTCTTCAGTTCACGGCGAGCATGATGAGTAATTACTCTACCAGTGTGCAAGTCACACGGCTGGTGTAAAATGCACACTCTCGTAGGGTGGATAATAGCTCTTGGTAAACACACACCACTCTCTTGCTCACAATAGAAGATAATGAGTGTGAAAAGGTCCATGATATTCAGCTTAAAGTAAAACATAGACTGAGAATAATCTCTGGTGTATATATGACAGAGATGATGAAGATAACACTTTTGATGTAAGCAATTTGAGTCTGTAAAAGAAAAAAAAACCTTATTTTGATTTTGATGCAGCCGGAGTGACTCATTCAGTTTGGCCTTTTTAGTAATAGCCTACTTTGTATGCGTGCTGTTTTGCACACTTACAATGGGCGTTCAGTGTAAACAGCTGCTTGGTATAATTGCCAGCACCTGAAAGGAAAATTTGGAGTTTGAAGATGGGTACTCACTCCTTTCCTCCAGTTAAAATTCACATTTGCTCCAAAGACCAGAACTGGAAACTCAGTGTAGTTTTAACCATATTAATTGGTCATCTGTATGCAGAAAAAAACCTATGTATATTTCAATGCAGGTGGCTCCCAGTGGAAACTGACCGCCCACCATCAGCAGTGTTAACATCTTGCTGTGCTTCAAGCGAAACACTCACTATCAGAATACAAAATGAGATGGATTCACGCTTGCTTATCACCCATTTGCAAAGTAATAACTGATTATACCACTCGGTGGATGAGATGCTCTCAGTAAACATAAAGCAACTGTTTTAAATGCTCAAGCTTATCCTTGTGGGCTGAATATGAGATTAGTTTTCCTCTTCAAGGTCCTTTTTCACAATATAATGATGTTGATATTACTGGAGAGTCATTCAGATTTGCAATAGAAGTCGACGACTCAACAGGAGGGGACAGAGAGAAACACAACCCCAAATAGTTCATTAGAACACTCCCGATAAGGCAAATAGCCAATCACAGCTTTGGATTTTAAGCAGCCAATCAGATTTCAGTGGTGGCCATGGCTGCTATTGTCCTCTGCTTACTGCAGGGAAGGATTTTGCTTCTTTTTTTTCCAATTAGAGTCACTCCTCTGGTGTCGCTTTTATGGCTGTTTTGGTGTTAAATCAAGTATTTTACACAGCTGTATATTGTACGATATATATCAGACAGACATCACTAACCCTTTAATGCCTGACACCCTAAATTATGGCCAGAAAATTCAATTTTTTTTGGAGCTAAAATGTTTATTTCACTTACTACTGAAAACCCCCCAAAAAATCAAAATTTCCTCAAAATTTCACAAATATATTTATTTATCTCCTTTGATACATTAGATGTTTTTGGAAACTGATAAACTACAAGAGGACATTTTTATCATTTATCAGACTGTGTTCAGGTGTTATTTTAGTAATCTGTTGATCATAACAATTTGATAGAAGTATATAACAGTATGTATCAAATATGATACAAAGGCAATAAAAGGCTAAGAGTTTCTTTGAAGAAAATTGTGCTTTTTGCATCTCTGAGTCATGCCATTAGATGCTATTATCAAAGGTAAGGCTGCAACAACGAATCGATTAAGTCGATTCGTCGTGACGAAAAAATTCGTTGCCAACTAATTCTGTAATCGATTCGTCGGGTCTTTATATATGTCCATGGACACCGGCGTGTAAACATCAGCAGGACGCACAGAAGAGAAACAGCCATGGCCGAGGCAGCGGCTGAGAAAAACATGAACACAACCCATGGTGTGGGAAAACTTTACCAAGACTGAAAAGGAAGGCGTTCAGTGCAACATTTGCAAAGCCCGTTTTGCATGGCACGGGAGTACATCGATGATGCGTGAGCACAGGGCTCTCAAGTCTCACGCATTCAGCGTATGACACACGCATTCCCACTCGTTCACACGCTCACACACCACACATTGTATTTCTCACGCATTTAAATGAACATGGTGATGTCCACCATGTTGCACTTCTTTAACTATGGAACAGGTGGAAATCAGCTGAGTTTCTCCGAGAGTTCAGAAGCTGCGTGCCACGCGCAAGCCAATCAAATAAAGTATATCTACTGAACAGCCAATCAAAAAGCAGCATTGCTGTATCCGGGTAGATTTTGATATCTTGCGGTTTGACTACAGAAGAAGACAGACACTCGCCGAAATAGAGCAGGTTTTTATAAGGACGAGAAAGACCCGATGATTACAGTAAGTCAGTAACCTTCACATGCAGAGACCTCAACACCTCATGGCAGATAAACTCATATGATAAACTAAAGCCCTATGCTATTGCTATTAACAGCTGCATTGATGAATTTAGCCTGTTTATCCGATTAATCGATTAGTTATTAAAATAGTCGACAGATTAATCGATTATCAAAACAATCATTAGTTGCAGCCCTAATCAAAGGCATGTGCCAGTGTGAAAAAGTAAAAGAATGAATAATAGCTGCAGCGACTTTGTGGCGTCAATCTGTGCAAGAAAGAAAGAAAGAAATCCTGTGACAGTGAGCTTATGTGTTTCCTGAGTATCAACACAGGTAACAATAATGTTTACAGCATAATCAGAGGAGCCACAAAAAGACTTTTTCAATCTGACTTTTCCTTTATAAACTGACAGTCATGAACGTTGTATTTTTATCTGAGAATATACAGTTTTGGTTTTGTTTGTCACTCACTGTGTCAGACGCTGACGGGCAGGTCAAAGGGTGCCTAAAGCTACAGAAATATCAAAGCTTTTGTTTGCTGTGTAGAAGCACTCTCTAGTTATGCTGTTTTAACTGTGTCTGTAGCAACCAGATTTCAAACTACTTCTTTGATAACAATCTCAAAGAAACATAGACAGATCATCAAAAAAAAAAAAACAAAGAATAGAAATAGGAATGAGTGACAGAACAAACAGATCTCATTGGGTTTCGATTTAGGACATCCTCATTGTTATCAGAAGAAAACATCCTCCGAAGCTCTCCGAAGAAATCTGTCCCACAGTAGCTTCAACGACCTTCATCTCAAACTGTCTACATGCATTTTAACTTTCACAGTAAAGTTTCAATGGGATGAAGTAGTTTTGAAAAATTCTGATACACAAAATACAAGATTTTCTGACCCAAGGAGTAATCAAAAACATCACCCAACAACCTGGAGAAATACTTGGATCAAAATATAAACAGATATTGAGCTGGGCAGACAGATTGCCTCAAAAGTCAGAATGCTGGTTCATGAAGGTTAACTCTGAAATATCTGAGAAACTCCTGGATGGACCTCCAGGTCCTCCAGGCACTAGGACTAGAATTTAAGTGTAATTTTTGTTAATTTGTTTGTTTGTTTTGTTTTGTTACTTTTTTGTTATCCATTTGGGTGCATAATTTAAGCATGGTGCAGATTGGAAACAGTGATTAATTACTGTTTGTCCTTCCAATAACTATGTGGATTTGCCTGCTGGTCGATTTTTGTCACGTCAAACTTTCTGCCTCCTACAATTCTCCTTTTTTTCACAATTGCAAATATTAGTTTCCATTTCCAAGCCTGAAAAGTGCATCATCCCACAAGCTGTTCTGACCATGAAACCTTGAACCATCATTTCAGGATTTAGTTTTTAAAAACGTAAATTTATGCCCTTTCACATCCAATGAAATATCACTGTTAACTAAAGAGTGGATCATTTCTTGATTGTAAATCCAAACAGCAGCCCTGGGTGTTGATTAATGATGCCAAAGCAGAAACTGTAGTTCATAAAGTTTGCACTTTAATTTAACAAGCCAAGAAATCCTGATTAGATCCAATGTTAAAATGGACATCTTCACCGAATAAGCAGTCTGGTTTACATCCTGGATCAAAACATTTTCATGTCAGTCGATATCGATATGTATCACGATATAAAAAAATCACTTGTCAATCTTAAATGTTCCCTGTTGCTCTTAAATGAAATTTAGCAGTGCTTATTGAAAGCATGTCTTTTGCAATACAATAAGCTACTGCATCTGTGAGGTCTTTGTGTCTCTTTGGCATTTTGTCGTAAGGCGTTGCGCTAGAGAAAGTGGACTGAATGGTCGGCTGTTTCGGCTGCACAGGCGCCACGGACTCTTTGCTCCGCTCAGGGTTTGTAACCTTTCGCTCTGCCACGTGGCACTGCTGCAGGTGGGGAAAAAGATTTGAGGGATTCCCTGACTTTGCGAGAACATGTACTCAACGTTTTCATGCCAGTGTT